CCGTGATTATTTTGTCACAAAAGGGTTTTTAAAACTGCTACATGAAGATCATATAATGAAGATAAATTCATACGTTTTATTAAAAGATGTTAACCTTAGAAGGCGTTTCAAGGGAAAATGAGCACAAATGGGTTTAACGGAGTGCAGAGTGGACTGTTGCCTCTGGCCGGTTTCACGAATCCGAGCAGGAGCGTTGTTCAATTTCACTCAGGCCGCGCTTGAGCTCAACTAGAGCAGCTCAAAGAGCATCTATTTGAACTTTTTTGTCGCTAGAAGCACCTCAGCTGTGCAGGGTTGTGAAGAAGAGAGATAAAATGTCTGAATTTGATTTCTGTAAAGCCCGTAAAGCCCATGAGGATTTCTATTATTTCACCATGCAGGTGCGATACAGGAAATGCACAAAAATGTGACTGTAACTGTTGTTGTTTTGTTGCAAAAGAAGGAAACAAAGCCCTTAACTATGGCTGCCGTTATTTAAAGTATCCAAGTGCTGCACATGGATATCGTCTTATGTCTGCCCATGTCTACCCAAACACAGTTTATTAATGCAAAGACAGGAATAGTGGGAGGCAAGGAAGGAGGGGCGGTGGTGGGAACGGAACGCTTCACAGAGGGAGCTTGAGGGAAGCTGAGATCTCTGTGGGGGGAGGGGGCTGAGGGAGGGAAAATCTCAGATGTTGATTCAGTGGATTTTACTTATTGAAATGTTCGTGCCTGGTTGGTTTAGTGGAACAGTAACAGCATTTCCACTTTGTCTTCTAGATAAAAAAAACATTTTCCAATTCCAAAATTCTAAATCATGATTAGGTATATTCCCAATATGCATAATTATCTATTGTGCTAATTTAATATTTAATATAAATTTGTTTGTATTTATTTTGGTTTTACGTTCTCGGTTCACCTCGGTTCACTGCTGTCATAGCGTTGTTTAACAGTCACAGCTGCCAGGCACTTACACAGAAAAAGCTATAAAAGTCGACTGTATGCAACTTGCCCACCATCAAACAGCAGACATTCACAGCTGGTGACGAGCTGATGAACACAGTGGAGCATTTGGAGACAAAAATAAATGCTTGTATTTTCTTATGGTCTAGTTGGTGGAGACCAAAGATGGAGTTAAAAGGAGAGTGACTGTTAGATTTACATTCATCCGGTTTTCTGTCACGTCTTGTTTTTAAAGGGAACGAGAGATTCCTCTTTCCCTTCTCCTCCGTGCTCCTTGTGCAAATGTTGAATATTGCTGCACTGTACTAAGAGTTGCTCTTCATCTATTTTGTATTCTTTTAACTTAATTTCATTTTTCGAGTCATTTTATCACTCTATTACATTATGTATTCGTCTTTAAATTAAAAAAAATGTATGACCAAGTGTGATGACACATCTTCGTTCAGAGAGCTGTTTTATTTACACACTGAAAAGGCTTTGGGAATTTATATACATTTTTTAAAGTAAAAACTGCCGTAACCATAACTGCGTGTCCTTTATTGGGCGAGAAGGGATCATCACGTTTTCTATGCTTGGCCAGTTATCCAAATGAATTGGTTAAATAAAATACAAGCAAACAGATGGCCACGCAGTGTGTACAAACATAAGCAAAGGCTGCTATAATAGGTGTCGAGGTGCCTAGAGCGGTGTTTCTACTTTAATAGAGATATTTATTTGCACTCACATTAAAGCAGAATGGAGTACATGTGCCTTGTATCAATATCAAAGGCGTTCTACAATCTCTAAATACAAGAACATTGGCTTGTGTACTTTTTGGTGATCAATAATGAACCAGACACTAATGAAACAAGCCCTGCCTGGTGCTCAAAGCAAATTAAAGAAAACGCTTGGAAATTTTTGAAGATCGTCTCGCTCTTGTCTGGAGCTCCAGGCGTACTCTGATGATCTAATCGACGGAGGCATGGGGGCAACACAACATGGACTTGAGGATAGGTGAATGTAACTTGATGACAAATTCGCAGGCGGGAGGCAAGATGCTCTCGAACCCTGGTGTAAGATAATGTGTCTAATCCACTGCAGGGATGTTAAGTGCACTCATTTTACACTCCATTTCACACAACGCTGCCCTAGGAAGTGTATGATGACTCAGGAAAAACAAAGCATCGCTCCTCTGGAGCTTCCTGTTGTTGTTTCTCTCCATTGTTAATAATTTCAAATCCAATGGGTGTTTTTCTCACTTTTTCGGAGTTAATGATATGTCAGGAATATAGCAAGCGACGAATCCATGTGCAAAATGACCACTAGTCCAAAGAAGGAGGTATTCCTGGGTGAGTTTGTTCACATAATATGTTAGAAATGTTGAAATGCCATTTCAAGGTTTTCTAGCAGATCTAATACACAAACTTGAACAACCTTGCGAGATAATAGCGCCTGTTTGACCGTAAAAACCTGTTACAAGGGCAAACACTTTCTTTCCATTCATCAGTTAACGAGGACATCCTCTCTCCAGGTTCCAATAGATTGTTATATTTCAAAATAGACGATCTTCATAACCTCCTACTGATGTTCTTCGTACAAATCATCTATCCCAAAGGGAAATAACACAGACTTTAAGCAGTGTTATACATTATATACATACCAAAAAACATATAAAATATAACAAAACTGTCCTCAAAGGGATACAGTGGAGTGCACACAGAGTTCCTGAAAGCCTGAAAAAGGACCCAATGAAATCATGCAAGCTTAAGTGCATGGAGAGTAAATACATTTGTGCATGCGGGTGTGTGCACGCATGCATATGTTAATGCACATAAGTGCATGAATTAGTGCAGGGATTTCCACTCTCTTACGTATTTATTTAGTGTCATTTATTCTTTCCTCAGATCTTTCGACCAGTTTTTTCATTTTTAATAAAAAAAACGAGCCTGCTGTGTTTGTAGTGTAGCCATGGTTCTCACTTCTCCCGTCTTTACTAAGGAATTGTTTGGAAAACCTCCCCAGTGAGCAGATGGCGTCTGCTGGGAGGAGAATGAAGCTAGAACCTGGCCTCTATGCACCGCGCACACATTTCCCATATCCAGCACAAGCCTTTGTAAGAGAGAACCACGTATAGGCCTATTGGGAATTTAACCATGAGTCTGTTTTGGGAAACAGTGCACACGTTTGTTTATTGCAGCCTTGCTCTCACAGCAGTTGAAGTAAACAATGTGGATATTGTTGAGCCTCTGAGCTGGCTGGACCGAAGCCCCATACCCCCCCCCCCACACACACACACACTTGGAATTATTTCAATCACTTTGATCATCGTGGTTGCCATCAATCGAATATGTTCATTATTTGACCCCCTCTGCCAGCAGAATTCAATGTAAAAAAAACACATTTGTATTCTCTGTGGAGGCTTATCTACAGTATGCTGGTGTGTCCTCATATATTATTAAACAGAGAATGAGGCAATGCTAGTATCTCTGCATAGCTGCTTGCAATCTGCCCCATGACTCATTAAAGAGAACTTAGCCAATGTAAAAGCAGGGGTCTTACGCTGAGTCTGCACTTGCTAAACTAACTCAGAGGAAGAGATAAGCCGCGGAAAAGCATGGAAAAGTAAATCTGAGATGGTTTGAATAAGCCCTGCACCTTCCTGCTGGCCACAATCTACACAAACAGTATTCGTCCCAATCTCTCTCCGGGGGAGATTCCTTAAGCTCGCTTTGTAGCGAGATCCAGGTAGGCTATCAGTTGTGAAGAACATGCCAACAAGAATAACCCAACGTGAGACATAAAATCTATCTCGGGGGGGCTCAGAGGCTGAACAAGATTGAATTAAAATCTTCCTTTTGCTGAGTCAGACTCTTTAGATAATTACTTAGTGATATGAGGAACACTTCCCTTCTTGGCTGTAAGTTCAGAGGGAATGCAGACAATGGCATATTTGGACTGCAATCATAGCCCCCCCCCCCCCCCCCTTCCTCCCTTCCCCACCATGAATTGGAGCAATGAGAGCAGGATAGCACAAAGCTAATCTGTGGCCCCACAAAAAGGCCTAAGGGAGCAGCAAATGGAAGCGGTATTAATACCACGGTTTCTTTGTTTCTTTGCCAGATATCTTTCCTTCTCTTATGGTCCTTGACCACTAAACCTCCAGCTTTTGTTAATGCCAGCAGACAAAACTGTGTACATGCAAATACAGCATAATATACATCCCTGTCAAGAAAATAATGGCCTCGAAGTAACAACCATGCATGCCTAAGTAACCTATTAAAGTTCACTCTAGGGTACACAGCAGCAGTCTCACATCAGCAGTTCTGCCGCCGTCTCCAATCTCGCCTCCACTGCCAGGAGGCTGCACATCTGCACCGCACAGTGACTGACATCATAGCCCCCCCCCGCCCCCCCACACACACACACCCTCACACTCCCGCCCAGCCAGGGTGCTCCCCCTGCGGGACTCTACTTGTTACAGTGCCCAGAGGGAGCCGAGATGAGCGGGTGGAGAATCGGGGGTGGGGGTGGGGGGGCTGGGCTGGAGAAGTGGAATTCAAACTGGATCGCCTCGTATTAAAGAAAGAAAAAACAACTTGTCCACGGTTTGGTCTGATTTGTGCTTTCCAACGATATATATATTTAGAGTATATATACATGATCGTATTTCAACCCTGCGGGAGTCCGGATGTTGAGTCGGTCTAATCATATTTTGTGAGACTTCGGGCGCCTCTGCAGCGCAGCAGAAGACTGGAGCTCCGCGCAGAACGCTGCGCCTTAACGCGCAAAAACAACCGATGCACCTTCAGCCTGGGCGTTGCACTAAAGTCAATCCACTGATCCTACTTTTCAAAACTATAAAAACATGATGAATCACTGATTACTTTAAGTACTAAACCGCATTGAAATATTCAAGTTACACACAAAATGTGTTTCGCTTGCATGTATCCGTGTCATGATCAGTATCCTTCCAATGCTGCGCCTTTGAAATCGAATCAATTTAAGTCACGACGGGTTTTTAACACATTTGTCTGCCGTAGATGACCCATATTTTCAGCTTGGGTGGCCGTACTTACCCCTATCTCGCGCCCATGACGAATCCTTTCACAAGAATTGAACCATATCCAAAGCGAAAAATCGTACCTTTTTTTTGCGTCTTTTAACGTGCGGCGCGAATGTTTCCCGGACAATTCTGTCTTAAAATGTTTTAATTAACATCTAAACATTGTTTTTGAACAGTATCCAAAAGAAGTCCACACGCATTTCGATGCTGCGTCGATCTCCCCCCTCCAAATCATTGCGAGCGCTGTCCGCGGAAAAGTGGTGCTGAAAGTCTCCGGTCCCAACTTTAGGCTCTCTGCGAATTAAATAAATGGCACGTCCATTCACTGACACGGCTCCTGCCGAGACAGCATCCGATTTTGACGGGATAATGGAGCGGAGAGACGCGAATCCCACACCCGAGGCGGGGGCATCTTCAAGCTGATGGGCGGGAGACGATATGCGCCCCGCGCGCTGGATGTGATTGATGTTACAAGCATCGCGGCACAGCGCCTTTATCGGGGAAGAAATGCACCATCAATGGAGAGGGGGGCTGGAAATGTGTGAATGCTAGATTACGGCGTGTAATCCGGCCCGCGTTTGACAGTGGCGGCATAGTTTAGTTGAAGAGTGACGTGGAAGGGCTTCGCTTCCATTTGTTAAATCATAACGTTGATTTGGTCGCAGGGAGTCTGCACAGACTTCAATGTCTGGTTTTATACACTGTACTCCATGTGCGGTATAAAACTCAAGCACACTGGCTCTCTCCACTGACAATTGAGTGTCACTCATGTTTGTGTAATAAATCATGCCAAAACAATCTGGAAAAGGTCCACCAATTCTTTTGTAACCACACTGTCTGACATAAGGGTCTTCTGGGACAATCTATATATATATTTGTATGATACATCTGCAATTAGCTCAATTCTCTTGGCGATGTGGCGTGATTGGTTGAACTTGGTTGAAAACTTCTGGGCCGACTCAAACGTTACAGGGGCTGCAGCTGAAGTGGTACGTGGAGTCTCAAAGCGTCCGGGGTGCTGTGCGTATAGTCCAATCTCTGTGTGGGAAAATCAATCCTTCAGGTTTGTTTGGGTGTATGCGTGCAGTGTGTAGCTGCGTGTGCCTGTTTGTCTCACTGTCAGCAGCAACATTCTGCAGCAGGAGAATAAACAAAATCATGCCCGGGGGCATGTCTAAATACGCCCAACATTATCCTGCAAAATAAAGGCAGAGCTGAGTTTCAAATCGAGCATGCAGCGTTATTGTTTAAGTCCTTGAAGCAATTGATGGATCAATCTCTCGACTGTCATCCTCCAAAAGGCTGTCATGTATGTATGCACAGAGACAAAGAACCTCCCCATCTATCACGTTCACTGTGGCACCTGCAGAACTCGGTGGACTGATTCGTTTTCCAACAGAAGCCTTATAACGGGGATCATTCTGTCTTAGCTTCCTGTATGTGCGCAGCTGCTCTTCCCGATCGTACGGGGCCGAGCGGTGCACGGAGACCTTCACAGGTCTGAATGGGTCACACCTGTGGAGTGTTGGGCTGGCACACATCAAGGGAAATGGGGAGGTGGTTGTGTGTGTGTGTGTGTGTGTGTGAGGGGGTTCCTCGGGGATGTGTGTCATGTCTCTGTGGTGCCCGGAGGCAGCTGAACCTCTGAATATTCATCCCAACCGCTATTGCAGCAAATTCCTGCTACAAAGCTAGACTGACTGACTGCGGGCCGCCAGGGGACCGTATAAGTCATGCAAAAATTAAACAAACCAAAAAGAAATCACAGAGCTAACTTCTGCACATTATTGAACAAAGTGTTTTACATATTTGCCTTACTCTACAAACGATGCGCTCAAATCATTGTTTAGAGGAGTTAGCATTCTGACTGAATTATTCGGCCCTGGAGCCCGCCATAAAAAGTTATTTTCCACCAGAAACCCATTCCCGCCTTGCGCTGGGTGATGGTCTTGTTGAACGCGTCTGCTCTGAGGATAACAAGTCCTCCTCGTCCCTCTGCGCAGGGTGAACTCTGGAGATTACTTGTTTCAATTAGCTACGGGGCGACGAGAATTTAAGCCCTCACTAGTGAAAATCCCAGCGCATTGAACTATGCAGCGAACCACTGAGCCATAATCGCATGCCCCCAGACGTTCTCATTTCATGGATACATTAGGGGAATTATCCCAAATGCAAATTCTGAGGTCACAATATGTTCTGTTTATTGATGGGATTCATTAAAGAGCAGAACTCCAGCAGTGTTTTGTAGAATTGTGGCGCTCTGCTTATCACAGCTGACCTGTGTCCGGTGGCTTTGTCCACTCGCATAGAAAAGTCCAAGACATAAAAGAGAATTTGTATTTAAATAACGCGTTTCACTAAATAAACGTTGAGCAAAAGCTACTTTAATAATAAGACGAAGAAAGAGAAGACAGGGAACAGTCTGTCAATATGAAATAAATAATAATCTAGTAGCTGGAATAAAATATGTTGTTTGTATCTCACATCTTTAATTCATCCCGTATTGAACTCCGGAGGTCTACAGACTATCTGTTGGCATGTGATTGCATAAAACCGAGCTTCTTACTGTCTAACACACCCACCCACAAGTTGGAAGACATAGAAATGACTCAGTTTGTCAACGTCTGTTAAACAATATTCCAGGCGGGCTGGACAAATTGGTCGCACGCTCCATGCGCGAGCGATATATCCCTATGAGATAGTGGCTGGCTGACTGTAGTCACGGGTGTAACCTTTGAACTCAAAAAGCTTTTTATATAACAGCCTCATCACGGTGGATGTGACAGTACCAGTAGCATCTACATGGTACAGCGGGTTCACGGGGAAAAGCTGCACATTTCATCTGCACTCCCAAACACATCACATCCGTCCTCCTTTTAAAAAGGTGCCCTTGTTTACAATAGAAATTGTTAAGAGTGATATATTAGTGATATATCACAATAAGGAACTTAAGTAGTCCTTCATTTACATAGCATTCATTAAAGACATTCAAATGTGTGTGTGTTGTTTTTTTAGATCAATAATGTAAAGAGATTGGTCCTCTTTGTTGCAATGTTTCTTTAGAGGCGTATTTCAAACGGCATGTGGACTACAACCGCAACCATTAGTCAATTGGGTTGATCAAAAGACAAGCAATTAATTAGATTGCTGCTGTACCAAGTGCCAAATTCTAAAAGTTGGTTATCTATGACAGATATCAATCCATTAAATCTTTGTAAATAACCGAGGATGAAAGTATTCAGGGGTGAAATGGAAATTATCTGCCAGTTAGAGGATCAAACTGACAAAAAAGACAAGAGTGAAGTATGTGGATGTTATATGTACCTTTAATCTAAAAATATGAATATCCTGTGGGTGTCTGCTGAGTCGAGTGGAAGCACACTCGTTTCACTTTTTCTTACATGTTGGTGCAGGATATTTTGCCATTTGGAAAATGAGGCCGAAACAAATTAAGTTAGCCATAATCATTCAAGGTACAGCTGTCTGCTCTACTTTGACAGACGTTTGAGAAATGACGAGCCGGATGCCATTAATGAAGCACAACACATTTTTTTCTGTGATGTCATCTATATCAATCTTTAAACAGCACATGGTTTGTATTTCCTTGATTCATATGTTTTAATAGAGGCCACTGCATACTTGCACTCTTTGCTTACAGGCTATTATAAGTTGTTTTTGAATGTCACTAGAAATACGAGTTTGGCCCGGCAGTAACTGGCATGACAGCAACCCCTACTGGTTCTGATATTTAACAGCACAATTACAAATACCTTAAATGGTTTAGTATGCTAGGACTGCAAGACCCCCCGAAAAAGGTATATATACATAGTGTTTTGCATCCAAACATAATATGTATTTGCTCATATCGGGCTGATACATTTAAAGCCAAGCGTCTTCTCAAATAGAAAAAAGTGGTGAGACATAAACTGTTTATATATATATTTTTACTGCATCCCAAGAAAGATTGTTAGATGTTAGTATTTTAATGCTCTTTTTCTATAGCTTTCAATAAAAAACGTACTATTATTCTATTTATAACTTTTTTTAAATGTTGACACAAAACTGAAATAACATCACCTTGCTGTACAGCGTACAGTGAAAGCACAGTGTCACTTTAAGCCCAGTAAATCACAACACGGGTAAATTGCTTTTCCTTATATGTGAAGCCGAGCACAATCTATTCTGACCCCGGGCCGAACAACACAATCTCCTGCTTATTTAGTCATTAACGTGCATATTTACCTGGAGACAAAAGGTGCTCTAAAGGTTAATGTTGCCAATATCTTTCCCTGCCCTTGATTAAACAAACCTCAGCCCCTGCACAGCTCGTGGTCGTGTGTCGCTGTGCCTCTTTCCAACGATTGCCATATTAAGGGATGTAGCACACGGGTTTCCCTGCTCATTAAGCCACAGCCACAGTGGGGCTCTGCTTATGACTGCTCCGTCTGTCTGCTCCTGTAATAAGATGAACCAAGGGCTAGGTTTATCACACTTTTTACAACTTTATAATATCTTCTTCTACAGGGATTCAGCTTTACCAGCTATTTATATCTGCAACTTTTCTCACAGTCTCACTTACGTTCTCCTATAAGTGACTTATTATATTATTGTTTAGCAATGTTGCTAGAAAACCTTGAAGGAAATGCACTCACACTGAAGCCATGTCAAAACATCACAAGATTATAGTTCTGTGGAGGCAGATATTACAATAGACTTCTGCAAATGTCATACTTTTCATCCATACATGCTATTGAATTAACAGCAGTTGACGTGTATCGGATAAAATTTGTTTTTGATCATTATTTTTCAATCTTTGCAACAAAAAAAAATGACACAGACATGCTGAACATCGAATATCAAGAAAGACAAAAGAATGAAATAAACAGGAGTTGAAGATGAGAAGCAGAGACAGAGAGAAAATAGAAAGTGATTTTAAATTATACACTGGTCCATTACCATTGTCAGATAGTTCCATTAGCGATCGGGGTGAAAATGCCCCCTGAGTAAACACTATAATTAGGCCATGTTTGAAATAAAGAAGAGTTGGTGAAACCGGCTGCCGCTCCTCATGCGATGCAGCTTTCAGTGGCAGAATTACTGCTACAAAAATATAACAAAAACACAACTTAGCAGGGCTCTTTGTGGGACTCTTGTTTCCTAGTGCCAGGCAGGATTTTGGGTCCATTACCGGCATAGTTTGGATGTCACGTCATGCCAGTTTTATTTATTCACAGTAAAACATGCTAAAAGTGGCACAAGCACTCCTGGGGAAGCGCAGTATTATTTGCCCATTAGGTCCCACAGTGGGCGGCTGCCTGTGCCTTCATAAATCTACCGAGCCCTCCGACATGCAACGCTGTTCTCTAACCCCCGGACTAATGTACCTTCTGTGAATTGCGGTTAAAGAGCAGATCTTCGGCAACGTGACCCGGCATCATGTCTTCATTGGAAAAGCTCAAAGGCTAAACTGCAGTAGCTGGACCAAGTGGCTCGATGAGCGGTTGCTTTTAAATCATCTGGCAACTGGTCATGTCTTTATTCAGCATGTGTTACTACCGGCAGGCCACACGTGAATCATTTCCCTTGTATGCGTTTTCAATATAAAGTGGGACACCTTCTTAAAACCTGACTCATAGGCCTACTGTACATATTTACTGAGAGACGTGCACGCCCTCTTTTGGACATGAAAGGGACTGTGTCTCTGCTCCTTCCTGTGAATCCCTGCAAAGGAGAAGTGGTTGCCGTAGCAACTGCAGATAGTACAAAAACATGGAAAGCTCTTGGTGTGACCCTTTACAGACATGCTTGATTGTGGAATCTTGCTGTTGTCCTCCTGAAGGAGTAGAACGCTTTTAAAAGAGCCCAGGAGGAACCATATTTTACTGTGTTTTTGTAAGTTGTGTTTTGGATTCAGCCTAGCCAGCAGTTTAATCTTAATTATACAATAATGAAATACATCAATACAATACATGTATCCTCATAAACCTAGCCTGGCAAAATCAGACACTACATTAGAATACATTTGGGGGTTTGAGCATATTGTTTAGTGTTAATGTTTATTACGAAACAGATTTTTAAACCTCTGTATTTTGCTTTCACTGCTCTCTAATTGTCTATCTTGTTTTAACTCCTGAATTATTCTTAAAAATGTATAATATATATTATTCCTGAAGTTTAATTATGATGATATGTTAATTGTGCCTATTAACTGCTCACAGCTAGACGGCCAAATCACACTCAACCAATTTAATGGCTCCTTAAAATAACTTTAATAGGATATATCAGCAGCAACTAAGCTCAACACAGGGGTGTTAATCTCCTGAATCAGCAGGTTTATGCATGTGAAGAATGTAATTGCCCTAACTCTAGGCCTACACATCTACTTAATATATACATATTATGACAATTATCTACTCTTTTATTTGAAAAGATGAAGAGCTTTTGGATGGGAAATGCTGGGATTTGGATTAATAAAGGCAACGAGTTTGCATACAAGATGTTTTCAGAGATAAAGTTAAGATGCACTTCAAATGTCAGCATCTGTAAATGTCAGTATCTGTAATCCTAAACTTTAGTGGGGAATGTAAGTAAATAAGATGGGAGCAAGCTGTATTGATCCGTAGAGGGACATTTGATTTTTGGACCAATAAAAGCAATCGGGCTACAACCAAAAAAAGACAAACAGGAGCGTTAAAGAAGCAATAAAATTAAAATATGAGCAAGCAATCCACCATAAGAATAGAATATAAATATAGTTTTGTGTCACAACTCATTATGCTGACAATTTGCAGTGTGGGTAAATTGCACTGTGGAGACTGAAGAGTTGGTAAATCAAATATTTCTGGAATATGAATTTGTTTTAATGCTTTACCGGTTTGCAGCTACATCTTTGTTTGATATCCTGTTCACCTTAACTTGTATTTGTTTATTGTGAGTTGTGAGCTTTCTTTACAACATGTCCTCTCCAGAACTTCTCTTTTGCACTTGGTCCTGAGTTTGTTTTTTTAATTGATGATAAAATTGATGATAAATTAAACAGTATTAGATTTGAAAAAGTGTGTTGCAAATGTGAATCTGAGTAGAGATTAACGTGATTAAATTGCTGCTGCACATTAGAGATGTCTTAACTAATTTACAAGCTTTACTCCACAAGTGATCCAGAAGTAGAGATTGTCCTAGTTGGGAAAAAATAAAATGCCAATATTCAAATAAAGCACTGTTATCAAAATAAAAGTGTCATACTGAAATGATACTGAGTAGATATTGTGAAGTGTGAGCATATTGTAGTCTACACATGAGGTGTCGACCCAACGTTAAATGCTTTGTCCCTTATTCAAAGATTATCATTTTACCAACTTTGAAGGGGACCATTTTTTTCCAAATTCATCACGATTAATAAAGGTTCTACTCATCGTCAGCAATCTGGAACTGGTCCAGTTTCACCTAAATTTGCTGTGAAGAATGAAATATGTAAAACAAAACGGGTACAAAGTAAAAAAGTAAAACTATCCTTCAATAAAAGTGATATAATATAATAAAGAGTTGAGATTGTCAAGTGCGAATATATTGTTGCCGCACAGAAGAGGTGTCTGGACAAATGTACAGGTTGAGTTACGTAACTTAAAATCATTATCATGCTTTATTAAAATTGTTTTATCAAAGTCCACAGACAGAAAAGTAAAACGTTAAATTAACATAGAGGCTGAAACAGGCAAATATTGGCTTGAAAATTAGTTGGACTATTGACTAACAGGAAAAGTGACTAACTAGTCACTTTTCCTGTTTGTATTGTTATTGCTTAAAATGTTGGCTTGAAAATGAGTTGTAGGAGTATTGGCTAACTAGTCACCTTGCCTCGTTGTATTGTTATTGCTTATTGTTTCTGCTTTTACCATTCCTTTGAATACCTTAACCAAGACATTTTTTAGGACCCTGCTAAAAAATGCACACCCACAATAAAAAACAGATGTCTGCAACCAATTGATGAATCTGGATGTCATAATAAAGTTACCACTTTATTTTGTCAAGATGTGTAAATATCAGTATATTTATATTGCAGGTTAGCCTTAAATAAAAAGTACTTCCAGGATGATTATAATATAAAAAGCTCTGAACTTTAAAAAGGCAACCCATTGAATATAAAAGTTAATTCAAATGAAATAATTAATATTGCTGTTGTTAATAGATTGTGGATTATCTAATATATTAAACAACAGTTAGTTATGGAACACGGCTGAACTCATATGTGTTATAAACCATTTTTAATAGACGCGTCTGACCTGTTTTAAATCACATATGTGGGCGCCGTCCATTACCTGCGGTGCTGAAAGCCAATCGCCCAAAACCTGAACAGATCAAACATTTTTTAAAACATCATTGCGTCATAATGCCTCGGCTCCCTCCGTCGGCCTCGAACTCACTTAATTATATCCGCCTCGAACAAGTGGCCGTCACAAGCCAGTTGGAGCCCAGAGTACCAGTTTCCTTCGCCGGCTCCCTCCAGCGGGAGCGTCGTGTTGCGTGGTCCCCCCCTCCGCCCCGTTGCTGCAATTCTTCAACGGCGGGTGGGAACTTTTCTTACGTCCCCCGAGCTGTTAAAATTCAAATTACGTCGTGGGCGTAAGCGGCTCCTTATAATGGCGACCGTGCCGTAGATGTGCCAGGGTTTGTGAAAATGAAGCGAAGAAGAAGTTATTTCTTTTAAGTGACACGCCGAGGTTTCCCGGAGGAGGACTTTTCGCGCCTACGAACCGTCGTCTTTACGAGTGGTAAAACTTAGCTGTACTTTTGAACTTTTATTCCCTTTTCGAGATGATGAAGCTCAAGTCAAACCAGACCCGGACGTACGACGGGGACGGCTACAAGAAGCGGGCCGCCTGCCTGTGTTTCAGGAGCGAGAGTGAGGAGGAGGTGAGTCCGGGGATGTCGCTGTCTGCTGGGCCATGCTAACATGCTAACATTAGCCGCCGTAGCTGCTTCCAACGTATTCTGTCTGTAACGTTGTTTTTTTTATCAATACAGCTGTGGGGTTTACGCCGTGATAGAAACTCGTTTCTCAGGCTCCCGTGTTGTCGACTGTCGTTTTTGTATCAAACATTTTAGTTTAGAGCTTTTACTTAACAAGAATGTTATGTAAGCATATTTCAGCTGTGCATATAACCACCTTCGTGGTTTTTATGCACAGCGTTACTTTGAGTCAACCTGTTAGCGGCATGCTAACGCTAGCGCTAGCTTGCTAGGTAGCCGTGTGGCAGCTGTGGGCAGCCGGCTCACGGCCAGCGACCGCAGCCCAGAGCCCGGACTGTGGCGAGTGGGTCAAAATAATTGTTTTAGTCTTTCGAAGTGACTCGCTGAGATGTGTGTATATCACGGGGGATTTTGGCGAGCTAAGTAAATGTTGGCGTTAACTGGGTTAGCGTTAATGCAACTGGTATCGATAGCCAAACATGGGACTGATGTAACTGTTAGCCATGCTAGCTTCAACTAACGGACAACACCGGTCGCGCAGCCCGCTACTCTCTTTTACGATGGTGACTTTTATGACTCAAAATCCGTATTTTTTAAAATATTGTATCATCCAGCCAGCTTAATGACACACTCAAAACCTGTTTTGTGTTAAAAAAAAATCTCCACCACGTAACGTTAGTTGACATAACTGCGAGTGTTGCCTCTCGCTACCTCCGTGCGCTCCACCACAGAAAACCAGTCAAAGTTGTTTTATAAAGCTGATATCCAGTCAACAACACGCACTAAAACCTCTTTGTAGTTTAAACATTACTAGGGAGGGAGAGCGATCGGAGACTTAATTCCTCTTTTCTGGTAAAAGTACAGGCCACATCGTGAACACGGGCTTCTGAATACAGGAAACACATCAGCCTGACATGCTCATCGATGCAAACTTTCACCAGAGACTAACCTCTTATCTACTAGATCGATAGTGAGCCAACATGTGAGCGTTCCTCACAACATACTGTATACTCACGGTACTATTGCAGCTACACACCAACTTTTCCAGTTGGCTAACTTGGCTCCAGGTCATTCCGGATAGCCTTGAATGTTCGTTTACTGGTAGCTATTGTGTCATATGTTAGGGTTTGGCTCTTTTTGTTCATATTATGAACACGCATCACTGAATAATCTCACTCCATGGGGCAACAGTGGCTTTGTGTGAACACAAACCATGGAGCACGGTTAGCTGTGTCGGTAGGCTGTAACGCGCATCCATTTTTTGTATGGGACGCTTCACAGGTGCTGTTGGTAAGCAGTAGTCGACATCCCGATAAGTGGATAGTTCCTGGAGGGGGAATGGAGCCCGAGGAGGATTCCAGTGTTGCTGCTGCTCGAGAAGTGTGTGAAGAGGTGGGTTCTTTAACTGTTTTTCATAGTTCGAATACCCTTAATCAAGCTTACAACATGGTCCCTCTACGTTTTTTTTTTCTAATTCAGTTGCCGTGTTGAAAGTCCACTTACGAACTTCACTCGACCCATGTGTCTGATCCATGAATGTGAAATAATCCTCTCTAAACTTTGTTCGTAGCCAGGAATACGGTTCTCAGAATGGATTTCCATTCCGAGCGTGATATTGTGTTTCAGCCACTAAATCGTATCTGCATTTAACACCGGGCCTAAAACCTTGCTCTCAAAACCCATCTAGTCTGTGCAGTCACCCTGTTTGCATGAACAGGGACAGAACCTAGCAACACGTAAGCTGCATCATAGCGTCATGTTACAAAGCAGCATCAAGGCATCAAATGAGGCCACACTGAGATTGAACACTGGCCGCTCAGCAGTTTCACTGCGGCACGATCCAATCCCACAAACGCAGCAGACAAAGCAAAACCATCTGCTTTCACTTTCTTTGATTTAGACAACTATTTTTCACCACTTAAGTCAAGTCACGGAGGCCGTTTCAAGGACAAAACGTCTATTTTTGTTTGTCCATGTGAGTCTCAGGGAGGATCTGTAGCAATTAGTAAACTTTCCTACATTGAAACTCAATAATACTGCTTATACATCTTGAGTCCGTCCCTGTAATCGGGTCTGCGCCTTGTGTACCTCCCGTACATCTCTTGGACATTTTGATCAGAACGGAGACAGGGTGCCGAGGACACTGAATCTCACCCGGCTGTCAGCTTGTGGCGCGTCGCCGACCATATAAAGCCGTTCATTGTGTGTGTGTGATCCATCACGGTGATTAATGCGGATATCGTCCCTTCTCCTGCTGTTTGGTAGTTTGGACGGCTGCAGGAGGCTGTAGCCCGCCGACGCATTTTCACAGGTTGAAAAAAGCTCTGTCACTTCATTACTGATGTGCTTTAAATGTGCTAAAATGCACAGAACATCTTCTGGTTACTTAGCGGTACTCCAAGCATCCCCACCTCCTGTGGCTTCCTGAGCTTTTTATTGGACTTTGGTGTAACAGGACATATCCTAATCCTTCTGATGACCATGTGAGAGATTGCTTGTGCTCTTTTTTTTTTTTTAAACTCTTGCCAGTCCGAAGCAGCTCAAAAGCTAGTTTGTTCGCTATCTGAATGTTCACAACCTCGTCTTCTGCTCGATAGCACCAGAAAGACACGGGAGAGAACTGCATAACTCGCAGCAGTCTTGATGCGGTGCATCCGCTCCCAAAGATGATACCCAGTAGTCTTCAGTTACACGAATGCTTGAAATGGGAAACATTTTCCATCTCCAAACGTACAGGTTGACTTTTGGCCTATTACTTGATCCCCGGCATGTCTTTGGGATCTGTAGTGGTGGGCCTGTTCTTTGTCATAAGATCTTTAGGAGTTGTTGTCCATGGCGTAGCGAGTGCAGTGGACATTTATTTATAGATCTGAAACTGTAACCTGAAGAAGAAGCTGCAAAGATGTCAGCAAGCGGCTTGGCTATGTATCTAAAACTGACCTGCTGTCCACCTCTGGGAGTTGAGCTCTGCCTCGGAGATTATTGTTTTCCATTGCCGCTAAGTTTAAAGATAACAAGCGAGTGATCCTCCTTCTAGGAAAGGTCGTGACATTTGAATGGCTCGGGTGCAACGGTGAATATCCGCAAAGAGTTGTGACCTTTTGTACTTGATCTTTTATGTTACTGCAAACATCTTGTAGAGAAGCTGTCAGTATCTGGGATCCAAGAGATACTGACGAGTCCCCCCCACCCACCCCCCCTTACTCCTGTTTGATATTTTGAACATTAAGATAAGGTACAATAACTATTTATTTGTAAAGCTCCATAGTGAACCTCCGTCTCTCTTACACACACACGCACACACACACACACACACACTGTGTTATCAGGGCTTCTCCTTCCTAGTTGTTGACATATCCGGGCCGATTACTCGTGCTTTTAGTGCACGTTGGCTCACTGCAGCCACTCTGCACTGCGTCCATACGGCGTCAAGAGTGAATGACGTCATCTCGACTGTCTGTCTGATAAAATCAATATTATACAACCATTGTATAGTTAATACTGTAATGGCACCTGTAGTATAATTACAGATCGGTCAGGAAAGTTAAAAAAAAAAAAAACTCACTTAATTCTAGATAAGTTGTTCCAGAATGTAGACTAATCGTATTATGTTATTTACTGTTGGCTAAATTAAACCTCATTAAGTGTGAAATGAATTGAGCAAGAGTTTCTGCTTTTGGGTCAAATGAAGTTAAGTAAACTGTTTTACTCGTAGGATTTTGCAACAACCAAAGAATTGGAATGAAATGTTATGACGTAATGTAATCCACTGCAACACAATTTAAAAATCACTCGACAAACACGGTTACAAAATGTAATGTTGACTGGCAGGCTGTTGGATTTCATTACAGTGTGCAGGCCTCTTTATATTTAAGAACAGCCCTTGGTTCTCTGCTGTAACCGTATGCGATTGTATTTACTCACAATTTGAACAACTCTTTATTTCACAGGCGGGTGTGAAGGGGACTTTAGGGCGCTTAGTTGGCGTTTTTGAGGTGAGTTGTTATTATTATTATTATTATTTTTTTTTAATGTGTTTTTTTTTTTTTAACTGTGGCCTTGTATGTTTTGCAAATTAAAATATCTCTTCTCCCCCCCCCCCCCCCTCCCTCCAGAACCAAGAGAGAAAACACAGAACCTTCGTCTATGTCCTTATTGTAACAGAGCTGCTGGAGGACTGGGAGGACTCGGTCAACATTGGTAAAGATTTAGTTGTTTACTTGTAAAAAATGGGGATCATACGGACTAAAGTCTCAACAGTCACATGCTGTCTGTAGCTTTTTATTTCATTCCCAGGCTTTTGTGACCTTACAGTTCAGGGATTTCACTGTATGTTTGTTAGAGAGGGGGGGGGGTTATAACACCAGCTTTGTTTTCGTGACCTCCTGCTTTTCATTTTCGCACTGTTTACAGTGCTGCTAATTAATAGTTTAATGGTTTTTTCTGTGTCGTGTCTCAACTCGTCCCCACAACGCTGTCTCGTTCTGTCCGCAGGGAGGAAAAGGGAATGGTTTAAAATAGACGATGCCATAAGAGTGTTGCGGTGTCACAAGCCCGTGCAGGCCACCTACTTCGAGGCTCTCCGGGAGAGCTGCCTGACCAGTAACGGAACGCCGCTGGTGGCCACGATAAGTGGGGACCTCTCCCCGACCTACAGCATCAATCAGAGCTCCGTCTCGGGTATCAGATAACTAAAACCATCCCTCTGACACCGCCGGGAGCTTTCGCCACCACTTGCGCTCTTACTCGTGTCATTTCTCCTCTCTTCTGTCTCGATAACATGGTTTGCCTTGCCAACTACTTTGTGCCAGAGCTGCTGTGGCACACACTTGATGACCAGTGTTGGGTGATTAGTCTGAAACACTTTGTAAATGTAATTTCTCACCCTGAACCTTGTTTTTTTTTTTTTTTTTCTTTCCTTCTTTTTACTGACAACTGCATGAAATGTCGTCTCCCCCCTCAACGCGCCCTCAGCGTGGTGTTTATTGAATGCAAGAACTACTTTTTACTGTTGTAATGTAAAAGTGTATACTTAGTGCTTAAGTGGAAGGCTTTTGGTGGTCTTTTTAAAGTCTCCATTTCTTTCTTTTCACATATCTATTTCTTTTTTTTCTTTTTTGTGAATGAATGTGCCCATTAGTGTGCCCCCCCCCCCCCCCCCATTAATAAGGATAGGATATGTTGTCTGTATCAGAAGGATCCGAATTGTGGGAAGTGACTTGTCTTGCATGAGCACTGTTACGTTGCGACAGACTTATGAGGTCTTTTCTGATTCTTTTTGTTCCCTTATCATTGTCATCGATGTCTCAAGGACTCTTCCCCCACACACACACACACACACACACACTAGTTTGTGTTCCTCTCTCATTTGGGGAAGCTAGCCGAGCACTACAGGCTTCAGTCCTCCAACAGAGCGTCGTGTCCACTGTGCAGAGTGGAAGAATGTTAACACGCCACGTCGAAGTGAAACCCCTTTTCTCCGCAGCGTCTTCACCTCCCCTTCGATCCCTTTTTGTTTAACCCCGTCCCTCCGGCTGACTGCAAAGCCCCTCTCTCCAATTCCTGAGAGAGTAGAAGATTTAAAAATCATGGACTTGCAATTTCAAAATGCCACACATATCACTTAAGTTATTAAAAACCCATTTCCATGTTTTACTCCTCACATTCAGTTTGGTTCAAAAGCGATCGTTTACGCTGCTCGGAACAGCACCGGTGACGTTGGTGAGCACTCGTCGTGCTCATTTTCCTATTCATTTTTCACCCCTTTTCATTATTTAATCGGCATCCCGGGAAAAGACTCCAAAACATCGAAAGTAATCCAATCTATAATGCTGGTGCAGAACAAACAAGCCTTGTACAGTTTGAGACCTTTTTTTGTTTTTAACATGTAAAATGCTTTTGGATACTAGCTTTTTGTTTTCATGTGTTTTCTTTCTCTCCAACGTCTGGCAAAAAGCCGCGTCACTCGTCCTCGGTGCGGCGTGAGGCGGCGGGCTCAATACTGTGAAACTGGAGGCGCTTGTAGATAGCAAGTTAGAGGTTTTTATTGTAAATTGTTTTATTTCTGTATAGATCAAAAGGGGAGCGGACAGAAACACCTGTCGCTCCCCGGTGAGTCGGACGTGTCATTTCACCGGAGGCTCGGAGGAGCTTGAGATGGAAGCCGGTACGTCGGAGGCGAGCGGACGAGGAATGTGGCTTTGGTGGTTGGCGAGAGGGAGGAGCCCAAATGTGTTTTTTATCCAACCAAAGCAAACTTGTACCAGCTAAGGAATACCGTCTGTTGGCTCAGCGATAGTCCGAGTTTCCAAACCACTAATTGACCAAAAAGTGAAGCAGAGCTGGAGTTTCTTGCAGGGTTTCTTCTCCAAAACGTCCCAATGATTCTGTGGTTTTCTGGTCATGATTAGATCTGTGGTAGCTGCAGTCACTTACGTTAATACGGCAAACTTTAAGGTAAACTGTTGCTTATTTTATGGATCTATCGTACTACGGGGAAATGTTTGCTTGTGTCCGTCTGACAAATTTGAGATTGATTATTCTGACCTTGCATCTCGGTTCTGGTCTCCACCGACCTCTGAGGGTAAAAAAACAGGCTTCTTCACAACTAAGTGCTCGACTATTTTCACCAGCTAGACGCTAACTTTGTCTGCTGTCTCGTGCTTATAACTTATAAATAATTACAGCATTTTTTATTTTTTTTTGCACTTAGCAAAGTGTCATGAACCGCGTTGGTTATAGCAGCTGTGAAGGAAGGAAGGAACGTATTCTAATACAAGTTAATCCGTGATTACTTGTTGATTGTTGAATTGCTGACACTCCTGGGAGCTCCATGTTTCTGAAGGAAAACGAGTGAAATGGTTTCATCTTGGTTCAAATTTTGTTCAATTAAGTTTAAATATTGGCAGAAAACCACAGTATCATGCGTCCAGAAACGTAAGTAGATAGAAAGAAAGGCCTTCGTGGGAAATAACACGACTGGAATCTGAGCAAGAAGGAAAAAGGGGCCCAGGGTGTCATTTACTCACGGCTCTTCCTCCTGGCTCCTTTATGACCCTCCCATGGAAAAAAGGAGTCCGAAGTCTCCTCTACAACAGGTTGAGACTTTGATTATTTTTATTGCAGGGTGCCAGAGGCGCGTGGGGGCCAATGTCTCCCTTTATGAGGCCCCACCTGTCACTTCCTGAACAGACTTTGTGTCGATGAGACTTTTTAAGTCCTTATTGAAATGCGCAACCGGACGGCGAGGGCTTGGATCTGTACACGGCATCAAAAAAGAAATCAAAATTTGACGCTTGAGTTGAGCGTTGCTGGTTGGATGAGGGTGACAGGTACTGTCAAAATGAATGTGAGGAGGACGTCCACACGTAACAGCCAATGACCGAATTATTAACGACCACTTGTTCTTTATCCATATAATTCTTTAGTCGGTTCTTTAATCCGTTGTGTTATTGACAAGCTAATGTCGTGTAGATAGCTAACGCAGCACCCATTGATAAGGATTCTTTTTACAACTCCCTTCTAACTCAATAAAGCACTTCCTGTCATATGTAAAGAGATCCGGGCTCATCTCATGCAGATTTCTAACATTTGTCTTTTTAGTATGACAATGAAGCTTCAGAACGTATGAAGAGGATGAATTATTCAGAGAACAAATAAAGCCACTTCCTTTGTTAATTCAATCCAAAAGGTGATGGTATACGTATGTATTGCCCCATCTTGTGGCCAAAACAAAAAAATATCCAAACATCCCCTTGCTGCTGAGGATTGGAACATTCAGATTACACTTAAATTGATAAATAGGGTTAAAAGATCTCCCAAAATACTAATTGACTTTCAAACTGAACACGTGCACCTCAGCCTTGAAGTTACACTCGTAATGTTCTCCAAGGTATGTCACTGGAATCCTCTTTTCCCTTCGTTTGTCATTTGGGAACGTGAAATAAAACCAGTGTGAACAGACTGAAGATTGTAATATAAATGTGCCAACAAATAAACCAGTATTTCACATTCAGGACGGTGTCAATTTGTTCATGTTGCCACGATGTGATCAGTTGACCTGCGGCACTCGTCTCATACAGCAAAACCACAATACCAAGCTTGTAGCCTGCAGTGATTTAAGAGTTATGTTTCCAGTGCAACAACCTGTTGGCCAGAGTGGTATTTGAACGGCATGAAGAGCCGCCTGAAGCAGACTTTACATTTAATGTAAACTCAAGTTTACCTTTAGTCATTAACGGTACTTTACAACCTCACAGATCACATTTAGAACCTAATTTGGGGCTCAGACACTCGTGCTGGAGGTCCGTGGACCATTAAGCCACTGCTTTTTACAGAAAGCGTTCAACATGTTCCAACAGTTAAGACGTCTGAAACCATACGTTACATTTGGAAGAGTAACCATTTTTTCGCAACTCCAACGTAGAAAATGTATTAAACCTAATTAAAAAAAAAAACTTATTTACATGTTTTAAAGAAAGATCAGTTTGAGGGGTTTATCAATTTAACATGGAGCACCTTGTGACAATACGGCAAGGACAGTAGGAATGTCGGTGAAAGGGAAACTCCACTCTAATCAGATATCAAGAGGTCAAGCGACTCCCACAGTCCAGCTAATGAGATCAAAGAAGTCCCGTAAAAAGGTTTAATATGAACAAAGACACATTTGTATTTTGATTTTCTTTATTGTACAGAAAGAAGCGGTGCAATTTACTGAGGCTGCTGTCCTCTGCCACGTCCGAAGCCTCCTCTCTGCAACACGGAAACATTTGTCAGTAAACCAGCCATCTCACATTCAACAAAACAATCAAGTTCCATGACCCGATAATATCTGTACTGAAACTAAAATGCCACAGTGAGCAGCCATTGTAAAACCGCACGCCACGAGCCAACAATGGGGTCAGGGTGGAAAGAGGGCAGCATGTCTAGGAAAGATGATTCACAAGGTTTACTGTGAAAAGTACTTACGAACTGGAATTCTGTGGCGGCTCCAGCACCGGCTCGGCTTTCTTATCAGAACCAGCTGATGGATGTTAGAATTAACAAGTCAGCCAATTTTCTTATACAAACATGTTTAGTTTAAAGGAAAGCATTCCACCAACAAATTGAAACAATACCCCAAAATTAAAACGCATGGTACATGTGACTAATATGAAGAATGCTTACGGGGTGCAGCAGATCGCCTGTATGTATCTCTGTCGGCTTCACCGCGGTTGAGGCGGGCGGGCCTCTCTCCTTCCATTCCTGCAAAAATAAACACGAAAATTCAGGTCCGGTTAAGTTTAATTTACTGAAAATAACAGGATAGAATCAGGAAAATATGTATACTTTGAAAAAGGGGATTATCCAAAAGCTTCACACGTTGGCGGCAGATAAATTATTAGGCTCCAAGAAAGTTAAACTATTGTGCGAATAACAGCTAAGGCGACTTTAGTCTGCCAGTTATTCAAACGCATGTCGCCAATTTACACGTTCCTTCTTTCCAGGTAAAATAAACTAAAATAATAAATCAATAAGTTATCAGGCCCAGGCTTTGATTCCATGAGGCTGATCAACAGAATGCTTCCCCTCAGCAGGTTTACATTAAAAACCATGCACATGAGTGAGCTTACCCTTGGGCCTGGGCCTTGCGGTCTCAGGGCGGGTCTGGCGACGCAGGGTGGCGGGCACGATCTCCGGGGGAAGGTGGAGGAAGTCTCTCAGGTACTGGATACCTTCGTTGGTGAGGTACCAGTAGAAATGACGCCAGGCAAATTGCTCCTTGACATACCCACAGGACTTCAGGGACTGGGGGGAAAACACAAACATGTGGTTTTCACACTGGATAAAGTACAACAGACACATGAATGTAAGCTTATCCTTCCGTGCCGTGAAAGAAGACCCCGACGAGTTTTATCGAAGTAACGTCACCAGGAACATTACTTGCTTTCCTCATCTGTCTAACCTGCATCTTACTCTGCTTGCGAGCGTCAAAGCACCCTTTGCCTTTGTATCGTGCAATGAAAAACCGAACCACATATTTCCACGATGTGCATTCACCCGTAACGTCGAAAGGCCCCTCATTCAAAAGCGTGTGCCACTAACTAAACGCTAAACCCGGAGCATTTATCACATTTTCCTCCCAAACCAGCCAAATCATCAAAGTCAGCTCCACCCTTTTGAATGAAAATATATCCCGCCTGTAGTCTTTTAAAGAGACCAGTGGCTTTATGATCTGATCACACATGAACAACTGCTTCTGCAAATGTCAGCAAACAGCAAAGTCAGAACTCAGGTGGTTGTTTTAGTACTTTCACAGATATCAGTAGATCGATTGTCATTAAGAGAAGTAATATCAGCACAGTACCGTGAGTTATACTGATCATGCAAGTGCTGGCCTGTTATTGGCTCTATGGGGAAACGAACAGGTCGCCCGCTCGGTCCAATTCTATACAACTTAAAACACAGAAATCACCCGCTCACCTGCATCGCTTTCATCACATGAAGGTTGGGCACGTTCTTGTCAGCAAGCTCGGGATGCTTGGGCAAGTGGACATCTTTCTTGGCCACCATGACCCCCTCCTTGAAGAGGAGCTCATAGATAGCAATGCGATTCTTCTTGGGCATCAGCATCTGCGCGAGAGACACAATCAGACGTTAATTTCTGCCGAGGACACGTTGTCTCCTGACGGCTTACACAGTGTTAGCATAGTTAGCCGCATTAGCAACAGCTTGATGTAAACGAATGGAGGCGAAGGCGCACAAATGAAGGCTGTATTAAATCAGTGTAGTGAGTTTCTTTTAACGTGTCGACATCACCACTCAAACGCTTTGATGTGTACTGTACTGCAAAGGTACTGGTGGCCCGCGTCAACCGAGAGAAACGGCAGCCATTAATGGAGATCGGTGCCGTTGTCACTTCCCAGCTTTCACGTCTAATACCCGCGAGTGTAAAACGTCTGAGGCTAAAATACGTTAAATTGGTCTTTTGTGGCACTACCGACAATCGAATATCAAGCGTTATTGTTTAATAGAACGTGAGATGTTGAAGATATATTTAGATTTCTACGCCGGGTCAGTCTTTACCTTTCCACTTGATATGGGACCGGAGACGGAAGGAAGGACCGTCGTTGTTCCGGAAGGTTTATGCTCGCGACCCGCGCGCGCAGGAGGTGACGTCGCCCCCTGCTGGTGCGGAGGGGAAGAACAGCCTCGTTCACGCAGCGTGGTGCATATTTATGTTTATACACTGTAGTGTAAACGTATTGGTGCAATGCTTCTCCTTTGATTAAAAGGAACAAAATCCAAGGTTCTTGTGAATGTCGCAAAACATAAGTATGACAAATAATGTTTTAAACTAAACATGGAAAAATAGATTTTTCTAAGCGATTAGAAATATTATTTGGGGCAGTCAATTGACCGATTTTGAACCAACGATAACTCTCTTGGTCAAAAGGCTTTCACATTTCCTCAAAGAAGAAACTTCACATGCTTTGTGTTATCTGTGTGAGAGAATGATGTCTCTTGCAAAAAACTAAAATCTCATATATTCATACTGTGACTTAAATGCATTTGCTTTTTTTGTCTTAGTTATACTTAGTCCATTGTGTTTGTTGATTTCATTCCTTTATCTTACTGAATTTACATTTAAATATTATAGAAATGTATTTACTTTATATTTATCTTCATTTTATTTAGTAATAGTGGACGTTTTATTCTGAAAGAGCATCCCGGAAGTGTTGCTGTTCCTTGCGGCTAACGTGACTGGTGGACCATCCCCCTCCCCCGCCCCCCACCTGGCGGCTCCACCGGCGACACAACGGAGGAGGCAGCACCTGCTGATGAAGACAATGGTTACATCTTAACAAAATATCCCAGGAAAGCGGATTATTGAAGGAAAATACAAAACACGTTTAGGTGAGTTATTATGTTGATATACACGTTGATGATCAGCTGTCTCGGGCTGCCGACCTCCTCTCAGAGGAGCTCTGTCCACGGTTCTGAAGCTGTGTGCTGCATCGTGCGCACATCGCGGCACAAACAGACTGCTCTCTGCATGTCGGATCCGCGCAGCTGTTGAGTCCAATGCTGAATGCAAACTGTTTGTTTCATGTTTTTATTAAACCGAGGTCATTTCATTCAAAAGGCATCGTCTTCTCCCCGGTGTCTTAAAGGGCCGCTGCGCTGTTTGTTTGTTTTTTTTACGCAGGAAGTTCTGTTTGCTCTTCAAACATTTGAAACGGTCCTTCTGCCTCGGCTCCGACTGAGTCGACACACGTGAGACCTGAATGTGTCAAGTGGAGCTCGAAAAGAAGTCAAAATGTGCCAACTACTTTTCCCCAAAAATCTCCCAATGGGTGGAATAATACTGCAATTGTTTACGCATTGTCATTCTCACTAGTGCTGAAATGACCTGTTGTTTAATGACTAATCCATTTCTGAATCCATGAAACATGGCAATATGTGCTTATTCTCTCTACCCAATCATGAGCATTTTATGCTTTTCTCTAATTTGTAATTCTTTGTAAATTATATTGACATCCAGAAATAAGCATGATGACATTGGTTGAATAATGGTTGCACCCCAGTGCTTTTCCTCCGTCTCCTATACGCCGTTTGTCATGAGGAAATGATCTCATCTCATCTCTGTTCATCAACCCAGTCGACCTGCAAAGCTTCAGCAAACAGAGAAGCGGTCGTTTTGAGATGCGGGAAGCGAAAAGGCTGTGACTCATTTTGGGTGTTCTACACCGAGGAGAACTAATCGTATGCACCTCACCTTCAAATTCAGTGTTGCGTTTGACTACGTATCATAGTTCAGGGGGAGAGAGAGAGTCAGGGGTGGATGTTCTTCTCCTCACACATGTTGAAACCTAATTGGATTAATTCTGGTAACAAATGATGGACACCCATTTGATTTGCGGCGCCCGGTTTCACTCCTCTTATGTTTAGGAATGACAGATGAGCCGTCATGCTAATGTAATTAATTAGACTAAAACCTAAAGGCCTTCTTTTCTCTTTTTTTTTCATCTGCATAAATAACCACAGACTTTACTCTGTTATTCCCGGTGGGCACAGACGCTTCTGTTTGCTTCTAATTTCCATTTGCACTTACAAGCTTAACATGTCACATCTGGTGCCCGAGGGCCCGGACTGAGCCGATTGAAAGCTATTAAACGTATGATTTCCTTGCAGCTTTTTAAAATGTTTATCTTGCTTATATTGTGGCTTCAGACATCCTCCGCCTTTCCGTCCCTGTTTCGGATCAACGCATTATGATGCTTATTTAATAATCTTTAAACGATAAGCATCTGAATGAGCAGACTGCGGCCTCCTCTCCAAGCTGAACACGCACCAGTCAATTATTTACACAGCTGAATGAAAAGGGATCCGCTCGAAGCCACTTCCACGCGAATCGGCCTGAACCGCCAGGTAATCGGAGCCTGAGATGGGATCCTTTCATGACAGAGAGGCGGGCTGTATTTCCGTAAGGGCCCCCGGGGGAGGGAGGGAGGGAGGGAGGGGGGGTCGGAGGGCAGAGGCGTTATTACATGCCAGGGGTCACGCAGAGTTACCCAACCGCTGACCTGTGGATTGCGACATTAGATTAATTGATATATCAAGTAAGGACAACGGTTGGTGCCGGTTATTGCTTGGTGGATTATCATTTATTATAATATTGAACTTTGGCCTTTCTTGTGACTAAACGGTGTTCTAAAGAATATTTGTTTAATTGATTAATCCGCTTGATCAGTCCAGCAATCATTCTGTGTTAAGAAATGTCAGGAAATCACACATTTAAATGTATTATTTTTATTATTATTATTATTTTATAATTATTATTTTTTGTACTTATATTGCACCAATGCACCAAGTCGAGTTCCTCAATGTGCAATAAATGGCTTCTGATTCTGACAGTGTCTTCTAGACAGGAAGTATGAGAGATCCGAGAGGACGCATCTTACAGAATCACAATAATCAGTTTTACTTTGAAGAAATGCTCAACGTTGTCTATTCGTAACTTGGAGGATTTGTTTCTTTTCTCGGCCTCTTGTGTCTGTACGGTGAATATTCAAACAAAGTGTTCAATCTGAATGCAACATCTCGGGTTTTAGGAAACCGTGATGTTTTCATTTTGTGAAGTCGTATCAGTGGATTGATGAACCGAGAGCTGCAACGGCCAGCTCATCTCACAGCTTGTTAGTGGTCGTCCACGTTTGCTCCTCCGAGGCTCAAGATGTCAGACGTTCGGTGCTCGTGAAATGCTTTCGAGTAGTTAGGCTGCCGTAGGTGTTGCCATGGCGACTGGGCTTGTTAAAGATGGCGCCTGTTTGGTGTGCGCGTGTGTGCATGTTTAAGGTACAGCGAATTAAATCGTTTTAGTGATGTGCAGAGAATCAGATGATCCGGAGACACGAGCAGGACCTTTCTTACGTCCATTTTGAAACCATAGACTGCGTTGAAGAAGTGGACGTAGCCACCGCGACGTCCCCCTGTTTGACTTGTGGTCCGTTTGTTTTGCCGTCGCCGTCTTGGAATACGCCACCTCCACGTTGTTTTCGCAATGTTTACTTGAATAAATCAGCATCCGGGTCATTTTCTCATGCACTTCTATCCAAACCGACTTCAGAGGAGTCGCCCCCTGCTGGTCTCCAGAGGCGATGCAGGTTTCAAGACTTCCGGAATTGGCTTCACTCTTCATCTAGAACTCAGTTTATTTTTCTGTTAAAGCAGTACACACACACACACACACACACAGACACACACACACACACACACACACACACACACACAGCGTTACTAGACACACAGAGTAAAAAAACAAAGTTTTCAAAGTACCCAAAAAATTTCTGTCATTTTTGCATCAATGACTGAAACAGTGACTTAAACTTTCTCCAGTGACTGATCGGTTCAGCAACAGAGTGTTTCAGTATGGTGTCTGTGTGTATCTGTCTGTGTGTTTACTACTACTACTACTACTACTACTATGCGTGTCGTCCTTACTAAACAAAATAACAGTATTTGTCCTGAAAAAGCTGTTTTTCTTGCTGACTGAACATCTACGGGTCGACTGCATCGCTGGCGGTGTTTCCTCCCACGTCTCGCTCGCACTTCTCACAGCCAGAAGAGTTCTCATTCATGACATCAACAACGAGAGCGCGTGTGTGTGTGTGTGTGTGTGTGTGTGTGTGTGTGTGTGTGGCCCTCATAGCTTTTATTAGCAGCCTGACTGTCGCTGAATGAGTCACTTCCATTTCCCTGCCACGTTTCAGCTTCAGTGTGAGCCTTCAATGGACGAAGGAAAGAAAAAGGTTATTGATTAGAAAGAAACTGGAAAGCACAGAGGTCCTCCTCTCTTGTCCCGGAGAATCCAGTGAATTCTTTTGACCCCGGAGTGTGTGAGATGGGGATATGGGATGGGATCCAGCCATACGCAAACACACAAACACACAGACACACGCAAACATCTCTGCTTTTTACATTTTAGAAAGAGAGATGAGACATTTGGCCACCGAGCTCATATATTTCAGATCAATATGGATGGTTAGCTTAGCATAAAGCCGGGGGACAGCAAGTTCAGGCCAAAACATTTGTTTTATTCCAATTAGCATCACTAAAGTTTACCAAAGATCACTTGTTGATATCGAGAGAAAAAGCAGGAAGTTCCCACTAATTAAGTAAAGCAAACACAAACAATCCAAACAAAGGAAAGATTGTTGAGTGTTTTGGAGCGAAAGAGAGCCGGGGAACTTTAACTGGTGACTTCAGGACGCTGAATGTTGTCAAATCACTGAAGGAAAACCGCCTGAATTGTCTGTGAGTGTGTTTTCTTTCCAGGTCCAGGCCTGCAGGCGTGTGTCACTGACTGCGGTAATGGGATTGAACGCTGGGGTCAAGTGGATCGAGCCCCTCTGGGAGGAACATTATCAGACGAAACGCAGATGGCACGTAATTGGGAGACGAGCGTCTGTCTTCTAGTGGGCGGACAGCACGGCTCCTTTTTGAGTCTGTCCTGACTTGAAAGGACTCAAGGCCTCTGGGGGAACGCGTCCGATGTCAGAGGACGGCGTAAAAAAAACGAAAGCGCGTAGTGTGTTTTGATGAATGCGTTTGTGTCATCGTTGTGTATACGTGGTTCCTCCTCAGCCGATCGGAATAATTCCTCCCTCGCGTGCGGCGTGCCGAGCTGCACGCTCACCCGGATCTTGACTCATCCCTGTCTGTCCTCCACACGACGGGCTTTTTATCTACCGACGTCCCCTCCCTCCATACTTCTGTCTCCTGTCCCTGACAACGGGGACGGGGGGAGTCTCCACCCTCCCGTCCCCGGCTGGCTAATTATTGATGGCTTAATGTGTCCTCTCAGGGAAATGTCAAAGTTCAGGGCGTGTTTGTGTGTGTGTGTGTGTGGACAGCAGGATGTGTCATGGTTGCAGTGGAGCAGTGACGCCCGTGGACTCTTTAAGTCTCAGCTGTTCCTTCTCCCAAAAGGAGACGCCACAAAGCAGCGTTGCTGTCGAGGACAGAGCGGCCGCGCGGAGGACAGACCGTAAGGACACGTCTCAATGCCGACTTTAACACGCTTAAGAGTTGTGCGCTCGTAGTCTTGTGTGTGTGTGTGTGTGTGTGTGTGTGTGTGTGTGTGTGTGTGTCGTTTTCTCCCTGCAGGTGATGAGTGCTGACTCAGACGAGGGTATGAGGTTGTTTTTGTGCGTATTATTCCAAACGGGTCAAAAGAGCCGAGAAAACCATCGTTGCGTTAAGTACGGCCCTCGACCTTTGCCTCGTCTCATACACGGCATGGACTTTAAAAGAGCGATAAAGCGCCGCGCTCTTAACTAACCGGATCAGAATCAGTGCAGCGGAACCAGAGGTGTTTGTCTTCCTCGTCACTGTGCAGGTATTTAAGTCTGCTTGCGTCCAGAGCGTCCGTGCTATTGATGCTACGTGAATATTGCAGAGGGACGAGCTCCAAATATTCTTTTTTTTCCACGTCTGGCTTGAAATGTTTCTACCAGAACTTTTTCCCTTATTTCATTCACACGGCGACAATCCCTTTTATTGTTTGCCCTCGAGTAACACGGCACGAGCAGCCGAGGGTTCAGCGCCTTTCGTTGAGGCTTCTGGCAGCAGGGAGGCCCGGTTTCTCTTTGTTGGTTCACGTTTGATTTGATTTGATGAAACCAGAAGAGAGAAGAGTGAGTTCGTTTCACGTGAGTTTGTTTCACGGAGCTCAACGCGCGTTGAGCTCCGTCTCTGAGGCGTGAATCATGCACTTTGACATCGACGTCATATAACACCCTCCCCGCGCAGGGGGTGTTGTGGTTGGAATAATGTTGCCACGGAGACGCTGGTGATGTGGTGGTACGAGTCAAAGGAGATTATCATCTTTGTGCTTAATTGTAACACTTGAGATATTTATGATTGGCTCTGAAGTTAAGCCCTTTCATACATTACAGCTGTGTAGCTTGACTTTGGCTTCAACCTTTATGAGCCGATGTCTAATTATTAACCCTTTTTATGGTTGTCGTGTCGACAGCACACACCTGCTCTGTGGCCTTCATGCACACATTCAGAACAGCTTACGAATAACAGCCTTGGCGTCGCCTCCACCCTTGATAGGCCCGTCTTGATATTGTTCATTTAGCCCACACCCTGCTTGTGTTGTACTGGAACTGAAGGAATTTATGATTTACTGGAATGGAGCCTATCACAGACCAATGGGCCAAGCATTTAAAACTTTCCCTCAAACCACCTTCTTCTCCGTTCAAAATCTCTCTGCTCATCCGCAACTGCAGGGATTCTTACCCAGCAGCATTCCAACACCCCCACCTTGACCTGTTCCACCATCCACGCCCCCCCCACCCCACTACAGCATCCACAGTGTTCATTGACAGGAGCAGTATCGCCCACCTACTCCGACACCCCCACCCTCCCCCCTCCAACCACCCCGTTTCCCTCCCTCGCTCCTCTTTAGACTGCTGCTCCGTCTGAGCCGTTCAAGCAACGCAGGATTATCCCTCATTCATTGACACACACACACACACACACACACACACAGTCCTTTATTTCTCCTGCACAGTGCAGTCGGATCCCCGATCAGTGGCCCTCTTCCTCTGCTTTGCACGCCGATGCTCCGCCAGAGGGCCAGCCAGCCAGAGGGGACGACGGGCGGCGAAGGGGTGAAATAAGCAAACAGGAGGAGGGAGGGCGGGGGGCAGAAGAAGAAGAAGAAGAAGAGAGGGGCTGCCTGCTGGAGGAGCCCACGTGCTTCTTTTCTCCTAGCTGTAGCCTTAGCCGCCGTTAATGGAGGACTGGGGGTAAGCTTTTGTGTCGGGGGGTGGGGGGCTGTGTTCTCACCCCCTCCGGGTGGGTTCAAGTGTCTCGGTCTGGAGAGTTTGGGGGGTCCCTGGACGCGTCGAGGCTGCCGGCTTGCCGCGGTGCTTTTCGGGGCTTGTGAGCACTTGCTGTTGGAGGGATGGGGGAGCAGCAGCGACGCTCCTTTTTAGTCTGCAGTGCTTGTTGTGACTGAGGATGTGGGTCTTTTTGCTTGGACCGCAGGATGCAATGATACAGGAGGAGGAGAAGAAGAGTGAATCAATGTGGTGGAGGCTGAAGCTCGGGGGTCGCTGCCAATGTTTTGGTTTGTGTGTGTGTGTGTGTGTGTGAGGGGGTTGTTTGTCTAGCCAGAGTTAGTAACTCACTGGATGGCGGACTCTTAATTAGAAATGTAACCAGGTTGGTGCCATTATTTCGGTCAGTTTGATTTCTACTAAAAAAAAAAAAAGATAATTAAATGATAATTAAAAAGTGGGAGAAGCCGGTTAGGGGCTGTTTTCCTGTGAGCTGCCTTTCTGCGAGCCAAGCAAAGGGGCTCGCCTGAACAAAAGCCCCCTCTCAGCACGTAGCTAATGGATTAACCAAGCATGATGAACACCCACTCACGTCGCGCTCCACGCTGCATCCGGCCCAGACGTTTGTTTGGCCCCAAGCCCCTTCGCTGCGACCCCGCGGTTGGAAATTCCTCTCAATCTACACAGGATCTTTGGTCGTTTTCTTTCACTTCCCTCCGTCGCTTGATCCTCAAAAAGTGTCGCTCCATGGCTCGGCTCGCGGTTGACCCAAATACCCATGCAGCCCCCCCCTCCCCTCCGCCTGTCAAAACACATCACTGCCTTTTCCCTTGTTCTGTTCTATTGTTTCACCTTTCTCATCTGCATCCAGTCCCTCCTCCTCTGCAGCTTTGGCTTAGTGAGATTGTTTCTGTTGATTGCGAGACGATCTTCTCTCGGCTGGTGGAGCAGGATGCTCAGAAATAAGAAATCTACTGTTTTGCGTTTGTTATTGATAGTTCGGTGTTCTCATGTTGATTCTTTATATAGCTAGCAGCCGTTTAGATTAGCATGAAGATTAAAAACAGGTGGAAATCAGCTGTAACAAAATATAAACATAGCTAATTCCATTTAAATGTAGCGGTGCAATCTGCTCAAAAGCACACTTTGCTTTTTGTTCAGATTTAACACACAAAATATGTTGACGTAAGCATATTTTCAGAGCCAGGCTAGCTGTTTCCCCCTGTGTCTTTGTGCTAAGCTAAGTAGCTGCTAACTGAAGATTCTTATTTACATCTTCTCCTATAGCTAGAAAGTATTTAAAGTAAGTAACAAAATGACCAAATTGTTCCTTTTAACATGCAAATTATTTTTTTTATTGTTTGTTTTCATTTTGTTGTCTTTTTGAGGATCAGTGTAACTAGTTTGTACCAGCAGATGACATTCCACTGAGCCGACGACAGAATATTCAAATCGCAGTTTATTTGCATCCCCACTTTGCATTTTATCTCGATCCGTGGGATCCTTCTTTTTCTTGTAATCTTTTGTCATCTCGGCGTATCCCTTCAGTGATTTATGCTTTTTCAAGCAAACACTTGCCTGGACTTTTGTCACCTGCTTTCTCCCCCGTGCAGATAGCTACGATAATCCAGACAAGCCTTTTATGTTGTTTAATCTCCAGTTTGGTGAAGCAACAAATTCCTTAGAAAATCCGTTATTTATTTGTGTTCGGGCCAGGAAATGTAGATGCACAAAAAATATAATTCCGAGAACAGGGGCTTCATGAGGCTATTGGCTGATTACTTCTTAGCAGAGCCCATCATCATTTCAGCACGCCGCGTCGCCTTTTTTAAATCGCAGTGTCGGCTGTCGGCTGAACCTGAACCGACGGAGGTGACGGTGGCACCGACCGGGCTGCAGCAGGATTTTGTTTCCAGTCCGTCTCTGTCTTCGCTTTCTTACGCTGAGAGGCCGCATTCGTTGGAGTGGATCCCTACCGCCGTATTCTCTGTTATTTAGTAACTTTCTAGTGATAATTAGTCCGTGAGCAGATAGATGCACATAGATGTTGACAGACAGACAAAAGCTTGTGTGTCTCCCGTTGGTCCCTCTTGTGGTTTTGTGTCTCTTTGTTGTTGTGATTATGGCTTTGCATTGTGATTGTTATGCGTCCCTGTGGTCGTTTTAGTCGCACTCTAGTCATGTTCAATTTCTCTTTGTAGCTGTTGCGGTTGTTTTGCATCTCATTTTGCATCCTCTCGAGAAACGTGTCTTTGTGGTCTTTTCATTCTTCCTTGTCGCTGTGTTTTGTTTGTCTTTGTGGCTGTTTGCTATCATTTCTTGTATCTTTATGATTACTTTTGCATTGCTTTGTTGTCATTTTTTATTCATTTTGTGTGTGTTTTTGGTCGACTTGCATCTCTTTTTGGTCACTTGGTGTCACGTTGTGGGTATTTCCTGATGCTTTGTGGGCATTTTGTGTCTCTTTGAAGACACTTTGCATCTCTTAGGGGTCATTTTGTGTCTTTGAGCTGATTTAGCTTCTATTTGCATTTTGCTTGGATTTGTATTTTGTATGGCTGTTAGATTGCCCTTTAAAGCTCCTGATATCGCTGTGTGGAAAGTACTGTGTACCATAACATTTTGGAATGCCATTGTCGATAATCACTCGTCTCGTCACATTTAGTTTGTACTTTGTACCAATGTGTGCTCCCTCACTCAGGTTGCGATAGCTGAATCCGCAGTTTGAATTACAGCACATAAATTCAATCATGCTAAAATGTTTGATTCAATACAGGTTTTTTTCGATGAAACAGTTTATGAATTAGTCAATCTTCTGTTTGAAGGAAAATATTACACTTGTAATAAGCGAGGACTCCTTTTATTGATGATTTTTTATCATTTAATGCCTCCAGCCAGAGATACGGCATGCAGCTAATAACCAAGTTCCTGTGTGTTCATGCTCCTCTGTGCTCTTCTGCTCTTCCAGTGCATGAGGAGAGCCACTGTGCTGCAGACCGCCACAGCCCTTAAGCCATCCCGCCAAACCAGGAGAGACCATGTCTGGAGCCTACGACGAGTCCGCCGGCCTGGAGGAGGCCACAGACAGCTTCTGGGAGGTGAGGCGGCAGCCGGAAGCCTTTTGACGAAACTCTCACTGAACCACGCTGACCAACCGCGGGGAGGCACAGGTTCACCCATGAACAAGATGGTGTATCACCAATGGGGATCGTCTCGGAGCCGCGTCACGGATCTGATGTGACGTTCGCTTTCAATCACGTGCGCGCGCCATTATCTTTCAGACTATCAAATGAGTGATTTACTTTGGTTCAGTCACGTTGTTGCTCTGATCTCATCCACGGAGGACGCTGAGGTCCAACTGATAATTCATCAAAGAAAGACGTTTTTAATTTGACTTGATTTGAATAATGAATCTACACATTTCCTTCAACAAGACAAGTGCGACAGATCCAAAGCTACAGATAATACCGCTGCTGCATGTTCATTCATGACAGAAAAGACGCGTCGCCACTCCTGGCATTCGGGGTTTTAAATAAACGTCCTCTGGGACTCTCGGTTGTGCTTTCATCCTCTCCGTGTCGCCCCGATCCGTCGATCAGCTGGAGCAAAGCTCTACGGGAGAGCTGCTGCAGTGCCGCCTGCTGATCGCTGACTCGGCTGAAGCAGAGGCCTGGTGTGGAATGCAATCATTTGTTTCCCCCACCCTGGGCCTTCTTTCATTTAATCCACGCGTGAGATTAAATGAAAGAAGATCATTTTCAGAGGGAGCTATCGGCAAAACACTATCACAAATTCAGAAGGGCCGCAGCCCTGGTTTCCCTTCTCTCTCTCTCTCTCTCTCTCTCTCTCTCTCGCTCACTAATGTGTGAAATGAATGCAGTGACGTGGGATTAAATCCTCTCCCTCTTCTTTCTGTCACTCTTTCTCTGGCTGAAGCGAACAGCCAACTCCGGGAGGCTGCTGCTCCTGCTTCCATGGAGGGTTATATGAACTACATGACATAAACACCTCCCCCCCCCCCCCCCCTGCATTCATTGCATGGGAACGTTCTTAATGGGAGCATCCCCACCTCCCTCCCGCCGGGGTGTGTCCACCCGCACACTCAATACATCACCTGGAGGGTGAGGCTTTTTCTTAAAAGAGGGACCTCGAAAAGGGATCGTTGTCCCCGCGAAACCGAGTTAGGTCCTCAGTTTATTCGGGGCTTTTAAAAACTCACCTCGCAGCCGCCTTTCTTTGGATTTTGGTACCTTCGGTCATGGCAAGGTAAGCTAATCGACGCCCTGCTGCCGCTTTCCCGACGCCCTGTCTGCATGCATCTCATACTGTCGGCGGTGGAGCAGGTCATGTCCCACAAATGTCGACCTTTTCCTTTCAATACCATTGCCTCTAACGGTCAAATACATTTTTACATCCGCGTCAGGTCGGCAACTACAAACGCACCGTGAAGCGGATCGACGACGGTCACCGGCTCTGCAACGACCTGATGAACTGCATCCAGGAGCGCGCCAAGATCGAGAAAGCTTACTCGCAGCAGCTGACGGACTGGTCCAAGAGGTGGAGGCAGCTGGTGGACAAAGGTAGTTTCACACTCAAATTCTCCGGATGTTTTTTTTTTTTTTTCTTCCCGTTTCTGGACTTGACTTTTACCCGTCCTGCCTCCACCAGGGCCTCAGTACGGCACAGTGGAGCGAGCTTGGGTGGGGGTGATGACGGAGGCGGAGAAGGTGAGCGAGCTTCACCACGACGTGAAAAACAACCTGACCCTCTTCGACTTTGAGAAGGTGAAGAACTGGCAGAAGGACTCGTACCACAAACAGATGATGGGAGGATTCAAGGAAACCAAAGAGGCGGACGAGGCCTTCAAGAAGGCCCAGAAACCCTGGGCCAAAAAGCTGAAAGAGGTGAGAGAGCGTGTGCCGTTATTTGCTCTTCCAGTCCTGACCAAAGACATTTAACTCTTTTGTAAAAGGAGAACAGCATTTTAATTTTGTTTTAGTACCACAGGTTTGTGTGAGAAGCCCATGAATGTCAAGTCAGACATCATTTCTCAGCGGAGCACAAAGCAAATCATTTTTCACTACAATTTTAACTGCATTGGTAGCCGACAAATGACTGTGAAACTGAAAGTGATATATCATTTTTTTGTCATTTAGGACAATAAATGGCTCTTTTAATATCTAACTTCTATCTTTTCAAATCATTGCTCTACAAATAAGACTTGTACAACAACTTATTATGAAACATTTTTTATTACAGACTGTAAAGCCCTCTGAGGCAAATTTGTAATTTGCGATTTTGGGCTATACAAAATAAAAAGAATTTACCACTGGTTGTTTCACAATACAAGCTTTTCAATTTTTTTTTAAATAATCAACAACTATATTGATTATTTTGAATGCATTTTATTCCTCATGTTTAGCTTCCAATTTGTGCGGATTTTTCTTTTAGGTGATGGTAAAAAAAAAGAGCTTGTTTTAACACAACCAGTTTAACATTATTACCGTGACTTTTCTCTGAATTTTTTCACGCCTTTAGTGAGGAAGAAAACGGATGTGTTAATATTCAGTTATGAAAATAATCATTGCAGCCCTACTTCTTTTACAGCACGTTTATTTTCATATTTCTCAAATGATCGAATAAGATTACATGTGTTTTATCTCATCGTGTTCCTTTTAGCTCGAGGCTGCCAAAAAGTCCTACCACATGGCCTGCAAAGAGGAGAAGCTGGCGTCCACCAGGGAGGCCAACGGTAGGAGCGAGGCCTCGGTGACCGCTGACCAGCAGAAGAAGCTCAGCGAGAAGGTGGACAAATGCAAGCAGGACTCCCAGAAGGTGAGAGCATGGACATCTCCCAGGCTCATCTGAGATGTGGAGCAGGTTCCACCGGTCCGAGTGTCATAAAGCTACATTATTAATGTGTGACTGAACACCACCTCCCTCTCCACGTTTATCCGTCTCCCTCACCAATCCGACGTCAGCTGTTCATAGTGGAAGCTCTGGCCTCCTTTGACCTTCACAATCTTGAACTATTATTCTTTCGTGTGCTTTAAAACACATCATTTGCTTTTGACCACAGCGAGATATCGAACAACATGATGAATTTCCAACTATTAATTGTGGAGTTTTTTTTTTTGGTTCTTACCCCAAGGCCAAGGAGAAGTATGAGAAGGCCCTGGAGGAGCTGACTAAGTGCACTCCCCAATACATGGAAAACATGGAGGTGGTGTTCGATCAATGCCAGCAGTTCGAAGAGAAGAGGCTCAGCTTCCTCAGGGAGGTGCTGCTCGACGTCAAACGTCACCTCAACCTCACGGAAGACCAAAGGTTCGAGGCCGTCATAAAGCCGCTAGCAGGACGCGACGCGGCGGTCGGATAATCATTTACCCGTGAGCTAACCCCCTCGCTGTCCTCCCACAGCTACGCTGCGGTGTACAAAGACCTCGAACGCACCATTACGTCGTCCAGCCCGCAGGAAGATCTGAAGTGGTTCAGCAACTCCCACGGGCCCGGCATGCATATGAACTGGCCCCAGTTTGAGGTACACCGGAGACCTGCGGGATCCTGCAACATGTATACGGGCCAGTCATCAAAAGGGAATAGTTTGAGATTGGTTGTCTGCTGAGAGTGAGATGAATAAGTTGTGCGATAAGCGTTGATACACCTGGAATTTATCGGTAGTGACAATTCTTTGCAGGAATACAACGCAGACCTTACCCATAACATCTCGAGGAAGGAAAAGTCAAAGAAAGGCATCGACGGAGTCATGCTGACCAACGTCACAGCAGCAGTCGACCACGCTCAGGTTGAGGACGCGGGAAGGTAGGAGGAATCGTGTCTACGCTAACAGAGGCTTATTTTACCTTAAAGGAAAGGCAAGGCAGGGCAATTTTATTTGTATAGCACATTTCAACAGCAAGGCAATTCACAGTGCTTCACATAAACGCATTAAAAACATCCAAACATAAAGCAAGGAGACTCACAAATAGTTAGGAAGGTGGATTCTATCAAAGGCAGCAGCAAACAGAGAGGTCTGGATTTAAAGGCGCTGAGGGGCTTTCTGGGACTTTGTTCCAATTATGTGGAGCAGAAAAACTAAACGCTGCTTCTCCATGTTTAGTTCTGACTCTGAGAACACAGAGTCCCAGACGACCTAACGGTTCGTGGCGGTTCATAAGGTATCAGCAGATCAGAAATGTACTTTGGTCCTAAACCATTCAGTGGTTTATTAACCAACAGCAGGATTTTGAAGTAAATTTTTTGTTTGACAGGAAGCCAGTGTAAACACCTGAGAACTGGAGTCATGTGATCTGCTTTCCTGGTCCTAGTGAGGACCCGAGCTGCAGCGTTCTGGATCAGCTGTAGCTTTCTGATTGACTTTTTACAGACATTTAAACACAACATTAAAGTAGTCGAGTCTGCTGAAGCTAAATGCATGTTTTTTCCAAATCTGGTCGAGACATAAGTACCTCTAATCCTTCAGATATTCTTTAGGTAAAAGTAGCCTGATTTTTAACTGTCTTGATATGGCTGTTCGGGTTGAGGTCCGAATCCATAATCACACCTTGATTTCTAGCTTGGTTTGTGATTTTTAACATCAGTGATTGAAGCTCAGCACTGACTTTCAATCGTTCAGCTTTGTTGCAAAAACAATTACTTCTGTTTAATCTTTGTTCAGTTGGACAACGTTTTGACACATCCAGTTGTTGATTTGTTCAATGCATTTACCCAGACCCTTGTATTGGATTTTAGTCCCCTGGTGATAAAGTTCTGTATTGTGTGTCATCTGCAAATGTATGTTGCAACGTTTCCAGAGATAAAGTAAATCATCAGTTCACCTTGTCCTACTCTATCTGCTGTGACTAGTCTTTGATTCATTCGTTTGATACATGAGTAACCCTTCTCATTTTTAATCTTTTAAACTGTAGTCACCTTAACAGTAATATTGATAGTGTGAGCATCGACAGCAGAAATGCTACACAAGTCAATTGCAGCCATTGCCGCGGTATCGGGACTCCACACTATTTGACTGGTACGACTGCACACTGATGTTCTGCTGAAATGTTCAGTGTCAGCAGCTTTGAGAAGAACCAGGCCTCCACCGAGTGGTCGGACGAGGACCAGACGGCCCCGGACTCGGGCAACGACACCAACGGAGCCCCCAACCCCTTCGAGGAGGAAGTGGCGAAAGGCGTGAGAGTGAGGGCGCTGTACGACTACGAAGGCCAAGAGCAGGACGAGCTCAGCTTCAGGGCAGGTGAGCGCGACAACCCCCGACACTGAACAGCAGCTAACTTACACACTATCTAAATACCTTTGTGTATTTCTTACAGTTGTAGGATCCACGTAACGTCGACTCTGTTATATCAATCAGAAACGTTTGACATTTTCATTTTTGTCTCCTTTTATTGATAAAAGGGGACGAGCTGATGAAGCTGGAGGACGAGGACGAGCAGGGCTGGTGCAAAGGTTGTCTAGGCAACGGGCAGCTGGGTCTTTACCCGGCCAATTACGTGGAGCCGATGTAGCTGAGGGCCGAACCGCCGGACTGAGCCGCCCCGTCGTGACCGCACATGGCCGCAGACTCGAAAGGCAAAGCTTCCTCTTCCCGTGGAGCACAGCGATCCGTCTTCATCTCAGCACTCATCGCAGAGAAAACTTTACTGAAACAAGCCCAGGGTCACATCATCATCATCACCATCACCACCATCATCAGCCGAGCCCTGCAAGTGAAACAAAGAAATGTTTCAGCCTCGTCAGTGTGCGGCTGCGTTGGATTTCAGATGCGACGGCAACGATGCCACACAGTCCGTCCTGTCATGGCTGTACCGACACGGCGCCGTCGGTTGCGTCTGGACAGCGAGAATGAACTATGCATTGTGCATTTCATGTATATATTTTAATCTTTTTTTTTTTACAGTCTGGAGGCTTGTACAGTTTTTATTTTCTCATTGAATACAATGTTTTCTCTGTGATATATTCACATGTTTAGCATAAAAGGAATTGTTTTGGGAAATGTGCTTATTCGCTTTCTCCCTAAAAGTTGGAGGACAAGATCGATATCTCATGTTTGTATAGTAAATATGACGCTACAGCCTGCAGCTAGTTAGCTTAGCATGACCGGGGAAATAAGGGGAAACGGTTAGCCTGACTGACAAAGTCTGGCTGTCAGCACCTATTAAATCTCCTCCTTTAATCCAGTGACGGAATTATATGATGCAGCTGTCAGTCAGTGTCCGTGACCGTGAAGAAAGAGTTACTGCACAAACCCCCTATACCTACAGCTTTTTGTAAAACACCAAATAAAGGAAAACAAGATGTTATTTAGTGAATTAAAGAGCCAGGTTAGCTTCTTTTCCCCTGCGTGTCTTTTTTGCTATGCTAAGCTATCCAGCTGCTAGCTCTGGCTTCATGTGTAGCTTCATGTGCCGTGTGCACAACAAGAGTAGCATCCATCTTTTTCTCTACTACTAATAAGCATATGTCCAACTATTCTTTTAATGCATTTAGTTGTTTTCCTGTCACTGAATTATCATTTTCAACCAAGTTACAAAAAAGTAAATAAAACACAGTCAGCAAGCAGAGCTCCTCCTCGAAATGGAAGTCCGTCCTCTACCGAACCTTATTAATGGTTTACATCACGCCGTCGACTGGATATTGTCTCCATGTCGTCTTTACGCGCAGACCGTGTTAATAACGCACGAGCCGTCAAGAAAACCTTCCTGGAGACCAGCTTCATTTCCCTACAAAGGCTTTGTTTATCTTCTGCAGTTTACTAAGAGATGGTATCAGTGACTCGTCATTATCAGCTTCCAGCTCTTATCTCTGATTGTGTTCATGTTGACACTCCCAAACACTGATTACCACCCTGATCCCAACGGATTGGGTGCATGCCCTCAATTATTTTCCTCCAAATAACTAAGTTTCTTGATTGAATTAAAACTCCTCCAATGATGCCATTTGATTTTTTTTTTCTTCTGTGTAACATAATCAATCCCCAATGGTCCATTTCGCTGCGCACAAAACTACAGGCTGTGTTACACCTCCACAACTTTAATGTTTAATCAGAACATTTCTAACCAACAAAAAAGGGGTTCGAGTGCACGTGGCACCACGGTGCACACCTATTGGTTTGTTGCACCTGGCCACCGCAGGCGTTGGGGTGAAAATGACACCTTTTGTCGCCGGGGAGGTCGGGTGTAGTCTTACTGACGCAGGCGGAGAAAGGCCGCAACGAGCGCCACACAAAACAAGAAAGAAAGACGATCCGTCTCTGAAATATTGATGAGGCGGTTGAGGAGTTCATTTAAAACGTAAAAGAGGATCGGGAGGGAAATGTCTCTTGTTCTTTGTTTGTGCTCCTGTATGCTCTTTTAAAAACTGCTGTAAGCACTGGATTCATGGGGGGTGACATGAATATTGCCTTACTACAATATGCCCCCCCCCCCTCACCTGTCACTCTTAAGGACCATCACGTTGAACAAAGTGACCCGGAGCTGCAGAATCCGACTGCTTCTGCGGCTCAGTTTGCACTGACGCTCTTTGTCTTGGTTATAGGTTTACTGTAAAAGTCTGTAAAAGAACTACTGCGGCATCCACTGTGAATCCCCACTGACGGAGGGTGAATCATATTTTTCCAACATGATTAAAATGCTTCTTTCTTTTATGTCTGGAAATGTTGATCTGCAATGTTAAGGGGAACTTTTTAGACGGGTTTCTCTTTTTGTTTGTTTTAGCATAGTGCTGTAAGTTATAAACTGTAGTGCCTGTTCATCTGCGTATGCGAAATAAAAAGATGTCATCAGAAAACTCTGAGGCAAATGTGAGATAGAATTGTTGCACTTGATGTATCACATTTATGAAATAATTGTACGTGTAATGTCATTTTTGTTCTTAGATTTTTTTTTCTCTTCATCATTAAAGTAAACGGTAACCACGGCTGTCCAATAAATGGAGTTTAAAAGTATTATAGTATAGTATAAAGTAGGATGAAATAGTAACACTAAATTCTAATTGTATATAACTTGAGTAAATGTACAGTTCCATTTAACCGCACTTCAAATGCCACATCCTGGTCTGCCACTAGAGGTCAGCAGAACCCGCATCCAGCCCTTTGTGCCTTCAATCATCATGTTGGGAGTCAAAAGAAAACAATCCTTCAGTGTCATCATTATTATACTCGTAGTGTTATATTTGCTTTATCTTCTAAAGCATCACTCTGTTTCATGTGTTTCAGCACCACTTTTTATAAACACTTAGATGAAGGGTTTCGGGATGGATTTTTCTCTTTTAGTAATGCTTAAATTTGCCCCTCCCTACAAAAGGAGTCGATAAACGTGTGTTTTCATGAACTCACCTTTGCAAGGGTGCGCGTTGAGAACAGTTTGTGGTTTGTTGCAGTGTGGTCAACAGGTGTTACGTCCCCGTGGCTCTGATATCTAACATAATCATACTTTATATCACCCCAAATCTTCAATTCACCTTCCCTCCCTGCCTCCCTACCTGCAGGATTAAACCGCTAGTTATAGCTCAAGGCCAGCTGCAGATATTCATACTCATTCATAAAGAAAATAAAGAGACCAATTATGTCTAATCTTAAAAGCCGTTGGCTTAGAAACAGTTAGTCGACTGAATCAGAAAAGACCACAGACAATCAAAGTTGATTATGTGTTGAATGGTGACTAATAACTGTTAAACTCAAACCTTTCATGAGTTAGACAAAATAAATACTGTTTTTTAATGTTAATACTTAAAAGTACTTAAGCAACCACAAAGTGTCAATAATTAGATGAAAATCTGTGTATGAAAACTTTTAAGACAAAAGACATAACTATGAATGTGTGAAATAATCCAATAAAAACATTGAATTGAAGGTATTTTTTATTGCAATCAAGTCATCTTTTTCAAAAACATTTTTTTTCAACTCTGTTCTTAATACAGATGTGTCTTTGCCAATGAGCAATTTGTTAAATAATTCTTCTTTTAATCAGGTTTTGGATTGTCGGTCGAGGCAAACAGTTTGATGACAAGTAACATAAAATAAAACTCTCATTAAATGTTATTAAATCCAAACAGTTACGGAAAGGACTATTTTGAAAATGAAATTATGTTAAATGTAATTTCAAATGAAAAAAGTACAATTTTGAGCTCAGTTGAAATATTAGATAAGTATTATATAGTACAGCGGAGGCTTTAGACCTGAGGATGGGGATATGAACCACTAAATAGCTTCCAATTCATCCTCTGAGGACCATGAACGTCTGTATAGAAGCAAAGTAACCCATCGGTTGGTGGAATATGGTTCTGAAGAGAAAGTGAAGCTAAATAGAACTGAGGCAGACCTTTTTTAGCCAACCAAAATATTGCAATTATCTTTCATCAACTTAAATCACACTAAAACACGGTAGAGATCGATGACACAAACAAGGACTTGAGAACGGAACAAAGCCTCGGCAGCGACCCGTCAATCACGAGGTAGCCACACCTGCATTCGCTGCTTTAGGGAGCATCATTTACTAAAAGAACGCCGTGCTGTGTTGACTAAGGCTCAACACTGTTGGTTTAACTTGTGTTTAAGACGTATGAATCAAGACAGAAGTCGTTTTCTCAGAAACTTCTAAAGAGAGTCTGACTTCTGTTGTGACCCGAGGAGTCTCATATCGGCCTCCGCGTTGATTGTTATTACAGATGTTTATCTGGTGCGACTGACTAAAAGGACATTAAATACAACACGGTTTTATCATGTTGGTTTTATTCATCGATATGATGTATTAATTCATGTTTATTCATTATACTTTATTTTACTGAACGTTTGGGGCCTTTGAAATGAAACCTCCACATCATAAAATACAAAGCTTACAGCATGGAATATAAAGCCGGCCTCCTCAGCAGTGAAAGAATATTAATAAAATGCATCCCTCCCTATTACACCATGAAACAAAACCAAACTATGTGTGGCAAGGACTTTTTGATAATAGTTTGTCAATATCGGATCCAGATGCAAAAAGGTGACTGACTCATAAAATGCAATACAGCATGTGTGTACAGCACAGCCAGGACCAAACCCCCCCAAAAGAAGCAAAACGTTCCCAACCAACTGTTGCGGAAAACTGGCACCAATTCAAACAGAGACGTCAGTCGAGGTGTGAGAGACAAAAAGACAAAGAAAATGCCTCCACGAGCGTATTTTCCCGACGCCATGCGCGCGAGGGCGATCTGGTCTGTTGGCTGTGATGAGGATGACTTATCACCACATCATGGGGCTCAAAATAAACAGGCAGATTGTGCAGAAGGCAGTATTGGGGGGGGGGGGTCCTCTTTAAATTGTGGGTGTTTCATTCCGCCGTTCATTCTCGGCTCAGGTGAGTCCCGTGACGCGCGTGCCCCGACGGGTGCCCGTGCGCGCCCTTGCCCGGCACCCTTTCATCTCCGGATCAGGGTGTGGCTTTCTGTTTTTGGTTTTTCGTTTTCTTGTCCCGCCCACTGAGCCGCGGCCTCACACCGGGTGGACGAACTGGTACACCAGTCTCTGGGACACGTCGGGCTTGCGGATGATGCCCTTCTTGTAGTACTGGCGGATGGAGCGGCTCAGCTTGTCGTAGTTCATGGCGGGACGGTTCTTCCGGAGGCCCCAAAGTCTCGCGACGTGAGCCGAGTCTTCGATTTTAAAAATACCTGCATGGCGGGAAAAACAATAGGCGTGACGTTTGTGATTTACGTCAAGAAAAATGATTGACGCACTTTTCGTTTAAAACCATTCGTCTGTAAGGTCTAAAGTGACCCAATTAAGAGGTCAACGTTTATTTGTTTTAAAAATAATGTTATAATTTATTTATTTTTTATCTACATTTTCTGAAGACAATTTAAGGTGTTTTCTGTCGGCTGGTTTTCTGTTAATTTAAACAATTTTATTCCAAATTAAAATGAAGCTAGAAAGTTCCAAAAGTTTTTTTTAAAACAACACCTTTTTCTTTATTGAGCCAGCGAATGCAGCGTCCGTAGGTGTGAGGTTTACGCAGGAGCTCCCTGAGAAACTGCCAAAGATGAATGGGCTGACCGGAACAAGACGAATCTGCCTCGGACCAAAGATCTTCGCTGCCTAAATCACAAGAAATGTAAAAACATTCAGATTTGAAGGCCACTCAACGTAGCATAGGCAGAGGATCACGGATCCCGAGGCGAAGGCGATCTTAAACTAACTTCACAAAGAAGGGGCTTGATTGGAACAACATTTTTCTTCAATTATTCCTTAGTTGCACACGATTTTGGGTGCAACTGAGGAATAATTGAACAAAAATGTTGTGGAAATGGGTGATGTGTGAACAAAACAAACTCACCTGTAGTTTTGGTCTCTCCAACTGAACACCTTTCTTTCATCCAGGCAGCTGCAGAGAGGATAGAGACATTTAAACTATGAAAGGTTTACTTTCATTAATCTGACACCACCTCGTGGTACAGATGACAAAGCCCCAGGAGCTAAATTACTGATTTCCACCGATACCATAAACTAACAAAAAAAACACTCAAATGGCCAAACTTAAAAAAAAAAATTATATTCAATCAGTATCACGCACTCGACTTCCATATGTCCAGGTGCGCGTGCAACGTGTCTCCGCACTGCGGCGAGCGCTGGCGGAACTCCTCCTCGCACATGGCGCACAGGTCCTTTCCGGTCAGGTCCTGGAAGGCCTTTCCCACGTGGGGTAACCTGTACAGATGTTCAGTCCACAGCAGCCACTTCTGGACGTTCCCCGTGTTCCACTCTACGGGGTCTACGAGAACAAGAGCACAGCGGGAACTGAAGCGGGTGGGAGGTGGTGGCGCCCCAGTCGTATTGAGTCAAGGTAGGTTTTTGTGTGTATTATGTTCTGCTTACACAAGATGCATTCACTGAATCCACACTCATATGCACGCACACTTCTAATCAGTAGATCAGATGGCCGCTTTACAACAGCCTGAAGCCTCAGAATACAGACTGTTCCTTCTGTTTGCACTGTGGCGAGCAGCAGGGAGACCTCGCCCTTAAGACTGTGTACACTGTTTACTGGCAGGAGGGAAACATCACTGTCACAATCCAGGAGAGCTCATGCAAATGGCAGGATTAAACAGATCCTGGAGCAGGCAAACACGGCTTTGCTTCAGTGCGGCTACGATCCAAGATCTGTCATGTGTTAACACATGTATGTGTTGATTTTGGGGGCAAGATCGAGTAGCTTAGCTACTTGAATCAATATCCTCTTACTTGCCAATAACGGGCTTTTTTTCTGGACCTGAAAAACGTCGGGCGCTCTCTTAAAGATTTATTTCTTTTTCAGTTATGCTAAGTACTCTACATTTTCTTGGAGATGACAAATTAGCACTAGTGGGTGTGGTGGAAGGCAGCCTACCTGGCGTGATGTTGAGCAGTTTGCAGGCGGTTTCAATGTCCTTCAGCACCTCTCCCACCACCATGCTCTGCACCTGCTCCAGAGACTGCTCCTCCTCCTGCCCCTCCAGCGCGGGAGAAAGTCCCTGCTCCTGGCTGTCAATCACGGGGCACTGCTCCGGTTCCACCTGCGACGCCATGCGAGTCATGGGCACGGCCGGCGAAGGGGAGGCCTCTGAAACTTTCACCAGCCAGGTGGCGTCTTCGGTGAGGAGCATGTCGAAGCAGGACAGGTAGAGGCCCGGCACGCCCCGCTCCAGGGACTCCCCGCTCGGTTTGGTCTCCCCAAGGTCCCAGAGATCCGCGGAGCCTCTGTTTCGCTCCACGAGGGCGAGGGAGTCGTCCGTCATCCCAATCCGGGATCCGTACACTGCTCCTTCCGAGAGACCACCCACTGAATTTGACATAACTGGTACCTGGAGAAAAGAAAGGCCACGTTAAACTCTAAAAGGTGCTCCATAATAGTGTTCAATCAGGGAGACTCAACAGATCAGCATATAATATGAGCATTTCCAAGGACGTTAGGACATTGACATCCACAGTCAAACATGAGTTAATGAATGATAATCCTTTCTGAAAACTCATTACCACTTCAAGTCAAAAAGACACTACCTTCTCAGACAGGTTGCTCCTCTCTCTGGCTGCTAAACCAGCAGTTGTTTTAGTTCAGTAGTAAACTCCATCAGAGCGTCTGCAGGCTAGATTCCAACATTTCGTACTGCGTTATGAGCCAAACCGAGAGGAGGCCTGTCCACTCTATAAGCTCTATAAGAACCCTGAGCCCGATGGAGGTTCAGGGGGATCGGCCCTGGGGAGCGCTAAGACGCACACAGCGCTGACGGGCATGTGGCAAAATGGATTTGACTGAGTCTCTTATTTGTGGGTCAGTGGCCCCGAATGGCCGAAGCGTCGGGGGCAGGTGACTCGCATTGAGGCCCGAGGCGGCTTCGCCCCGCCCGCCCCGCCCGCCCGCCCCGTCCTTTCAAGGTGCCGTCCCCGCGGCCCTCTGTCTCCGCTGTCAGCTGGAGTTTTTAATCAAGTTAGATAATGTGGGGAAGAGCCGCCGCCCTGAACCACATGTTCCCGAAAACAATCACGCTTTATGAACACTCGACCGATAGCTCCCCCGTTTACAGGAGATTGCCACCATAAGCATCCGTTTATGGACGTCAGCTGTAGCGCCGGTGTCGTAATCTCAGGACGAACGGGCGTATATGGCATCCGCAATGTGTACCTGCCACAGCAGGCGCATGGGAAGGCACACTGCTGTCACACACCAACCTGGAAAGGAAGTGTGCTACCACAGAACACATGTTCAAGGGGCGGGGGGGGGGGGTCACGGCTTTGTTTGTCAAGACACAACAATGAAATTAACAGTGTAGTAAAAAATGTGGTAAACGGTAAAAAGCGCCATTAAGCAAAAACACTTGTGAGGGAGTTTGAAATGAATTCAGGTGACATTAAGTGTTTGTCAATCAAGCAAATGCTCTACAGATGCAAAAATAATAATAATTTTGCTCGCTGTGCGCAAGACAAATATGTAGTAAAATCCTCAATTTGATCACAGGGCCACGATTACAGAAGTAATCATGGATTCATGATGCTGGTACTAAAAACTAAGTGGTTCATTCATTGTTTCTTATTGACTCATTTAACAAACTTCCCCAAAAGTTAAATAGAGTTATCTTCCCAGCCACCCACCTCCCCAAAAAGATACCCTGCCAGACTTTGGTCCTCAACCCCCCACTGTAAAACCTCCTACCCAGCCTTCCTTTTATCTCCAAATTCCTCGTAAGCTCTAACCCACTCTCCCTTTCACTCCATCAAGAGTCAGATTAAAAGCCACCGGCGTCCCGGCCCGGCTGTTTTACGTCAACTGTGCTCTGTAACAGCTTGCGCTAAGCCCATTAGCAAAGCAAATTTAGCCATATTACCTTCTTCCAAAAAGGAAGAGGGAGCACAATGAAAAGACACAAACACACACCCCATGCAGAGAGGGATTAAGACCCTGACTGATCCCTAAATGAGTTTGCTCAGATCGCTGATATTCATTTCAGGAGCATTAGAGCTCGCTCCATTTACTCGGCAAAGTCACCCTTTGACACCCGTGGAAAAGGACCCACCCTGGGAACCGCATTTCTCTCACATGCATTTTAGGGGTATCATCACCGTGGATTTTTCAAAGATTCAAGCCACGTTATTGGAAGAAAGCTTTTTTTTTTTTTTTTCCGGTTGCAGGAAGAAAAAAAATCATGTGGCGAAAGTGTTAATTATTTCAACAGGAAAATGAATCGGGAAAATAAATCGAACAGGAGCCTCGATGAGGAACTCGCCGGGGAACGAGTTTGTGCCGCCATCCAAAAACCCTCCTGAACGTGAAGGCGGTGAAAAGTCGGGGACCAATACAACCGATCCAGCATGAAGTGAACCCTTCGGCCCATTCGTCACTCTTGTTGAAAGTGTTTCGTGAGTCGGCTGAAGTGTTTAGATTAAAGTTAATGAGTAGTGATTAAAACAAGCAAAACTCTGTTTAACCTGGATGATTCAATCTGAGCTAAAAAAAAAAAAATCTATCTAACAACAACCAAAATGTTTATTAGCCCGTCAGCTCCGTGTTCTCTGAGTACATTGAGTACAGTGAGTGCAGCCATGCGTGAACGTTGTCACCGGGAAGCAGGCTGAAGGAAGCGATCTGCATCTGTAGATACGCCTTTTATTTGGTTTGTGACGGCTTTCTGTTGTCAGATGGCACACTGGCAATGGGCCAATCTCACAGAAGACCTTTACGGTTGGGGGGGGAATTAATTTCGACAAAGGACTCTATTTTACCGTTAGTGATGCAGATGATAAACCTCAACTGGAGATTTGACCTGAAGATTTTTCACACGGACGGACCCGTCACCTGCTTTTAAGAGATGGTGAAGATAAGGCATGAGGCCTGTGCTCGGGCGGCTGGATTTAATGTGCCGAAGATCAGAACGAGCAGGGATTAGGGATTAGTTTAATAAAGGACATGTGCCCCTTCATCAATAATTAAATAAAGACCTGTTTTCTGATCGTAAATAGTGGTGATGTCTTACCGTGACATTCAAATCAGTTTTGTAATAACGTGCACCAGAGTGATGCTGTGGAGGAAAGATAAAGATCAGCTTGACACTTTAGATATACGCAGGAAAAAGACACCTGTGCCTTGATAAAAGTCCCGGCTTTACTTACCAACAGACATTGTGCGGTACATTCGTTTCATTCATTCATGTCTAATTTCCCCCTTTGATATAAATCAATCCCCATGACAGGAGTGAACTTTTATTTTGAATACGTTTGCTTTTTTGGGCATCAAGCCACCGTTTAAACTCGGAGAGACGCCTCTTTCTCAGACCATACTTTGACACAAATTATACAAATACAGTAAATAAAAGCGGCTAACGTGACAAAGACGAGCAAACTCAAGGAAAACTAAACTGAAAAGATTTGGTAAATTAATGACAACAGCTTTTCTCTCCTGTGCAGCACTTAAACCTTGTGTTGTGAAGCCAACGACCCAGAGAGTTCAGAACTCCTGGCAATAAATCAGATTATTTATAATATTTAGTGACCGGACACAAATGAATAATCACAGATAATAATGAAAAACCTGTGTGTATATTCTTAATCCTGCGCCGGCTTAGAAGAAGACGCCCTGTGTGCTCTCTGAGGGACCAGAGGAGGATTGTGTCTTCTTACCGCGGAGACGATGCTCTGGTGTCCAGCGGCTCCACTGGAGGACCGACGACGCGGCGCAGCTCTGGTCCCGGTGAAGGATGCGCGATGACCTTTCCCCCCCCCCCACTCCCCCCCCCCCCCCCTTGTTGCTACCCACCGGGACGCTCCTTGAGAAAAGAGGCCCAATGAGCACCTTTAGGCTTTTATTGCCACCCCTTCCCCCCCAACCCCCCCCCGCCCTGGTGCCCTCAGCCCCGCCCCCCCCCCCCCCCCCTTAGTGAGTATCAGCAGAGCCCACCAGCCTCGAGGCCTCGGACTCTCGCAGGCTCTGCGGAGGAATCACGCTTAGACTGAAAAGCCTAAAGCTCAACTGCAAACTAAAGTTGTAGTGAAAGCACCTGCTGGGGGTGTGAACCGTGGAGAGAAGTCAGGGCAAGTGACTCGGTGAGCGAGTGCAAAGGAATTCCACCTCCATTGACTGCAATTTATATTTATAGGCCGGCCGTGTTTACTTTGTGTGTGTGTGTGTGTGTGTGTGTGTGTGTGTGTGTGTGTATTTGAAGTGCCATGTGTCTTGCAGATTATACGCAGACCTCCTCAAACACTACTAGTTGACCCCAGGACTCAGTAGACAGACAATTCAAGATGATAAAAGATAAAAGAATACACTTTGAAAATAAAAATAAAAACATCTATAGAAACAAAAAGCACTGCGGGCCTCATGAATCTGTATCTACAATGTCAAAAATGTTTTACACTTAAAAAGCAGATACTACAAATCTAATCATACACAATAATCTTTCAATAATAACGAGTACTTTCCGTTATTTGACTGACAATGCGTTGCACTATTACACAAAGCAGCAAATCTAAACATTATCATAGCAAGTGGTTGGACAATAATCGATGCAAATCCAAACTCTAGTTTAATCTCCAAGTATCTTCTCAGTACTGTGATGCACTTTTTTAGAACATCTTTATGAAGCGAGATCATATCTGACGACTTTGTGTCGTTTCCACGGCAGCCTTGGCCAAACTACTGAAGTTTGTATTATAGCGTCATTTCACCGGGATGAACCACCCACCATCCTACAGGACCGGCTCCTGGTGTGTAATCGACCTGTGTGGGTGTGCAGCTGATGGAGGTGGAGATAATTCTAACTGTGATGTTTAGTATCATAAAACAATGAGTCATATCACACAAGCAACTTTTTAATTAAAACCTTTAAAGAAAATACTACTTAAAAAGTACAAAATCACCTCTTATATGAAATTGAATACCGGTACATCTGAGGAACATGTGAAGTTTACCTCAGAATTGTATTTGTATTTGTTTAAGGAATCAGAATACTCACCTCCTGTTGTCTTGAACAATAATATATTTGAGTGTCTCTGAATTGATCCCCAAAATGATCAAAAACAAAATGCACATATCCGAAGAAAATATCTTAAACTACTGTGCAGCTCATTCCTCGAGCTGAAAGCTGCTCTTTGTGACTATTTCTTCATTTATTACAACACAACGACCTTCCTCACGGTTTTACTTTCCTTGGGACTGTTTCATGTTTATAATCTGAAACCCAATGGTTGCTGTCGTTATGGTTACTGGCTCAGATGTATGATGTAGTCATTCTCATTGTGCTTAATCTGTCCCAAAAATATGGATGAAAGAAAAAACTGAATATCATTATGTATAATACAAAATAGCTGCTGTTTCGCCTGCCAATGAGGATGACCAATGGTTGTGATGAGATGGGAGAATAAATATATATTTATACAACAAATACGCCTGTGAAATTAGGTTATGAAGAAAAGATCTGAATGAAAAGAGATAAGAGATGATAACCATCGTAGTGTTTAGCAGCAGCTTTTAATGAACTCTACTTGACTGACATCCTGCTAACATTAAGTTACATTATTGTCTGTGCAAGTACTCATAGCTTTGATAATTATTGTCTGAACCTCTTTTTAGACCAAAAAGATAAGGATAAGAACGCCTTATATTCAGATTCATCACCTTTTTCATCATCATCCTCATCGCCGTCTCTATGACATCATAACGTGACTCCATGTGGGATTTTGCCTGTTACATTCCAGTAGCAAAGCAGCCACAGAACCGTACGGTTTATTTGACTTTTTGGGTTTGATGCCGGGCTTGTTTGTAGCCACGCCAGATCAAACTGTGTGAGCGAACTGTGAACTCCTTTCAGACATGACATTTTACGTATTTGTGTGTGTGTGCGTTTCGTTTACACACACTGTGGACTTTTGTTTAAAGCTCTGTGGTCCATGATGTGGTCCACTTCAATCGCCGTGTAACGAAATACAAAAAAAGAACAAATAATTACACATTTCTATGTAGAGAAAAAAGCCATTTGTCATCGGCTTTAGTCACATCCGGTCCATCGACACAATTTGCATGGCAGTTTCTTCAGCAAAGTGTTTGACCTTTGCCTTTTTCTCTGCAACAACAATCGCATCACTCAAAGACAACGAGCGAGGAGAAGCAAGACGTCAAACAGACGTCAAACACCGAGACACAATCAGCCCACTGTGCTCTGGAAACGACTAAACGCCGTCTGTGAGCAGGTGTCGATGGCACCGGGTTGTTTTAGCAAAGTCAACATGGCGTTGACTCGAATAAGCTTTTGTGGAGGGAATGACAGTCGCATTGTCGGAATGCGAGCTTGAAGTTTCCGACTCGGGTTCGGAGCAGCTCGTCCAACTGTCAGGAGGCCCGATGGGTTTCCGAGTCGCCTAAAACACGTCGGGCGCGCGTTTCAGGGAGTAAACGAGTGCTGCTTCAGATTGATGGGACACAAATGTTAACGTTTCAGCGGCGCGCCGTGAGTAATTGAGCACCTGGCGAAAGCCGTCCTGGTGAAAAGGGGGACACGGAGGCGCAGTCAGGGCGACGCGTTCGCCCCCGACGTTTTGTGATGGAGTTAAGATCCACTGCCTGGTGATTCACCTCAACAGCCAGGCAGCTCGCCAAACGCGCGTGAAGCAGTTGGCGAGCTTGCGGAGACGTGCCCGGTCCCGCAGATGTGCAACGAATACACAGATGTGAGGCGGCAACAAGAGGCACGTGGTGATAATGAATCGAACGCCCCGACGGGACATCTGGTGGGAAGGGTGTGCAGAGATGAAGCTTTTTTGGTGAAAGTCTTATACACATACAGAACAATGCATGTAGCAGTGGCACCAAATGAAAAGTATTTCAACATCACCAGGGTGATGCGGATATTTCCTTTTCTCATCAATTTTGACATGTTTTAATAATCAAATCATATGTGAGATCAAAACGATTGACTGGAAGGGAAACTGGAAAAACGAGGTATTGAAAAAGCGTCACACTTTTCCTTTTTTTTTTTTTGACTTCAGTCTTTTATGTGGTTTTGATCCACATCAAAGAAGCGCGACGCCTCAAAACGTTTGAGCCATATTTGTTTCAGTTAATTGCATCGAAACACTCGACAGTTTGTGATTAGCGTGAGAACAGCAGAGATGAACTTTTTTGTGACCTCTAGTTTACTTTGGTAAACGTGCCGATAGCCGATCCCATTAAAGAAATATGATACGAACAACGATTTCAGTTAGAAAGCTTTACAAAACATCACAGAAATGACTCACATTATGCAGCAAGATGCAGAAACGATTCATCTGGAAAAGTATGAAACGGGTTTTTAAGATATGCTAAATGTAATTGGTTGTGCTTTTAATGAAAGATAGTAAATTGACATGGTTGCATCTTTAAATACAGTCTGAGGTACTTTAATGACTTTATTTTTATATTTCTCTCTTGTGCAACTTTATATTACCACTTTGCTAAGTTTAAGACCCAGCAGCTGTTGTGAATATTTACCTTTGGAGATAAAAGCTTTACGGAGATAACTTGTCATGTTCTCTAGCACATGTGGCCTCGCTAAAGAGGACATAGGTTGCTCCGGGTGAGCGCATATAATTGGGAAACTTGACTTATTGCCAACTTCTTTCAAACGAGTCGGTTTTTAAGTTTGCCAAGTTTGCCAACGTGCGGCAAAGGTTTTTTGGCACACGTTGGTAGTCGTTTACGATGCTGGCAGCGCTCCCCACCCAGAGAAACAACATCTGCAATCTAATCACGACCATACACCCGAGGCGGAAGGAACCCAATAAACCAGATGGCGTACGACGGCCTCCGCCGCTTCCTGTCGCCGTCTGAAGCTCCTGAAGCTCCGCATCGCATACGTTTTTTTAATTAAATAATACGTTTGCTTCTATAATTTCCCCCCCTTTAGATATTCTACTTCAGTTAGAATGTTAAACGGCCTGTAATCCTGAATATGAATGCAATCAGATTGATAAAGAAACGTTTCACATTGACACAAATTCCTCCCACTGCTTCTCCACTTTGATGCTGGCAGAGGATGTTCAGGATCCCTTCCTTCACCTTCTCAAATCCTGGTGCCAAAGGTCAGTTTGTCTTGATGAGCAGTTATACATCATTAGCAAGAAAACAGCCTATTGACTCGAGAGAGAGAGAGAGATCTCAGATATGACAAGGAGCTCTGGGGAGTCGCTGAAGCATAAGTAAATATTTGTCCTGTGCTTCCCTGACAGACCGTGTCTACACAGGCCCCATTTGAATAGTTATTACAGTGCTCTCCACCTGCATGAACGTCGCCATCACACCCACATAGACACACACGCAGATACCCTATGAAGCACAACGGGTGGGCCGCTGTCTTCACTGGCTACCGGCGGCTGCGCGCATCCAGTTCCAAACATTGGTGCTCACGTAGCGTGCTGTGAATGGATCGGGTCCAGCTTACATCCAGGACACGGTCAAACCCCGACATCCCGACCCGCTCTCTCTCTCCCGCTCTGCATCCGTCAAACTGCTCGTCCCTCCCTCACTGAGAGCAAAACACTCGACTAGATCGCGACTCTTTGCTGTCCTTACTCCGAAATGGTGGAACGAGCTCTCTGAAGACATCAGGACCGCAGAGAGCCTTCACATCTTCCGCCGCAAACTAAAGACACACCTCTTCAGACTCTACCTCGACTAAAAGACTAACAAATTGTAGCACTTAAATTGTACTTATAACGCCACTTATCTTTAGCAGATTGTAAATTGGCTTATTTGAGAAAATTGCACTTTCTTGTTTCTTGCTCTTCTGAGTTTGTATCCCTACGGTTCAATGCACTTACTGTAAGTCGCTTTGGATAAAAGCGTCAGCTAAATGACATGTAGTGTAATGAAATAACGTGCTTTCACGTTAGGCCCTATTGGACCCTGAAGAGAAGCTGTGTGATGCATGTTATATGCACACGTGTGTGCATGTTGGGTTATGCATTCTCTGGATCCTGGATTTATGTTATTGCAAAGGCTTCAGTGGACAATTTTTTTTTCTGTCTTTGAGATGAAAACACTATTTTTTCTGCAGAGCAGGCTGCAGAATCGCCACAAGGAGGCGCTGTTGGGTCATTAACATGCCTGTTGACCCCAGGCCCTACATGTATAACATGCTCGCTGCAATTAGCAATGGATTTCTTTCCTCTTGATTTGTCCATTATACCAATAACAAACTCCTAATGGACACAAATACTGTCCATAATGATATGATGATTACCAGTATTATGATAACCATGTGTTTCCAGGTATGAAATGCAAAAAACTGCAGCTTTTCAATTAGATGAGTTTGGTGCACGTGCTTAACATGTCTGAGGAAGTGAAATATAGAAAAGGAAAAGAAAAAAAAAATCACTCAGTTTCAGTGTTAATTTAATCATACAAATGCTCAATTATAGATACAGGAGAAAAAAAAAAAGCTTTATTTTTGACAGTTTCTCGTCAGATAAATGTGCTATTTTAGGACTATGTAAACGTTCATATCATCCACTCATCACGACCACCCATCTGAAATCTGTACATAGTCATAAACTAAAACAAGAGAATAAATCCAGCAATATTCAAATTTCTCACCAACTGTCTCTCTCGCTCGCTCGCTCTCACCAAAATACACACAGTCAAGCCCACAAGTAAGCACACACGCACACAGAAAGAAAAAGAAAAAAGAGACTGACGTGACTAGAAGAGGCAATGGAGAACAGTGTATACTGTTTGGGAGGAGAACTCTCAGCTGACTGAAGAACAAATAGAGCAGCGCACAGAAGGCCGGTGACATGAATGAGTCGAGGTACACACACACGGTGAAGTAGTGGACTTCAAAATTCAACCGTTTTCATAATAAAAACTAGGAGAGTTTTGAAAACCTAAAATGCGGCGTTCCATCGACAACATTTCCCATTTAATTTTTGGCCCAAAAATACAGGATGAAACGCAGCGCCTGAACGTGACGAACGCGGCAGAGCGTGACGACAGCAGGACGACTGCATGGGAAGCAAAAGCTAAACGTAAGATTAATATAAACCGATATTCATCTTTAGAGTCGGATATTGGAGTGACGAAAAGGAGATAAAATAAAAATGTAGATAAGACAACCAAACAGATAAGCGAAAACCGACAAAACGTTCAGTAAAATGCTGGTGTCACAATCAAAGTGTTCACCTAAATTCTATTAAAAAAAAAATCACTTGTCCCCCTCAGATGAGGCGGACAGAGTTGTGCAAATAGCAGTAACAGAACAAACCATTCATTTTCATATTCAATGAAACTTGTCACTTTTTGTTTTTTAGCACCACCTGCTGGCTGTAAATGGGACTTTTTTTTGCATCTGCAGTGCACAGGAAGACCACAAATAAATAAAAGTAACCGGGCAATTAGATGGTCAGTTCATCCCAACGGTGCACAATCACACCAGTCGGTAAAGCTCGCTCCACACAGAGCTGCACGGCCCTTTGCCCAAGAAGTATACACCATTTAGGTCAGTTAAATCCAAAAAGAAACCATGACATTCACGCACAGCTGACAGGCACATACACGCACACCTAGAACACTCACTGTGGACGTCGACTCAGAAACCACACTCACTCACCAGGCAAAATAGATTTAGATGGCTTTTTAAAACCCTTCTTCACACCTCAAACTCACGCGCGTCACTTTGAGCTTCAGCATCTATTCAAAGCGAAAACCCACCCTAAAAAACACACACACGCAGGCGCACACACACACACACACACACACACACGCACACACACACACACACACACATCCCATGCTGTGAATCGAGAAACCTGCAGACAGAACGGATTAGCGTCTCGGTTGTCTGGTTTGTATCTTTGGGAGTGACAGGGTTCCTACACAGGCACGCGCCGGACTTTCTGTGTGAGAATATTCACCACAAACATATTTGAATGCCTCTGAATGTGCTATTCAATGTGTCTGATAACTGATTAAATAATAATAATAATAAACATAATTAATTTACCACACAGATGTCAGACCCAAAATAGGGATACTGTTAGTGTGACATGATTTCAAATGCTGCTTGCTCGGTTTTTATGTTCATGTCACAAAAGGTCTGATATGTTAAATAACAATTGTTTTGTTTTTCGGGTCGTTATGTGGATTTTTCATCGCGTGATGCTAAACCTTTAACGGAGTTGTTGAAATTCCCAATTTGCAAACCGCCTTCACGTTAACATCCAACTTGTTATTGCAACTGGAAACGTAAATAACCGCATGTACTGGATATAGTGGCATATCGTTTAACCCACACGCGGTAAAATCTGTAAACACTCAACCATTTTAGAGTTGTCGGATCATGTGAACGCTCACGCAATGTAAACACGGGAATCGCTCTCCACCATCATCACGCGTGAAGGGAACGCGGTGAAGTTCAGTGGTTTAGTGACGGCCCTTTTCTCAGCAGTTTTCCCAACCCGCGTAGGAACCCCGAAGACACCAATTAATAAACCATGGAAATAGCTAATTGTATGCAATTGTTTACAGTAGATTTTCCCTTTCGTCAGGCGTGTTTTTACAGTGGAGATAAAAAACGGTCGTGTGTTTCTATCTTTAGGGTTTTAGAGCACTCTTAAAATGAAGCATTCACACATGCGAATCCGGGTGTTGATGTCAGGTGGGACGTTTCGCGGTAGCGGATGTGATCCAATCACCTCACTGTAGTCTGTGTTTTCTGTGAAAGGAGCCTCTGGGTTTGGGGGGGGGGGGAGGTCGTCACGAGTCAATAGAAAACAACAGTCCCCTCCCTCCGACTCCTCTTTCTCCTCTGACTCCCGGGGCGTTGAGCGCATCACCCACGATGGTGGAGGCGGGGCGGAGGTCTTTCTCATTCTAGCTCTGTCCAAACGGATAGGGTCCGTGAATACCGTGGGGGGGGGGGGGGGCACAAACAGAAGGGGAATTAGTAGGGAGTAGTTTATACAGAATGAAAATGAATAGAAGGATAGATGAGAATAAAATGTTATTCAAATTGTTTTTTTCAAACCGAATCAAGAAAGCACACAGCACTCTGTTGTTTATCATCACCAGTTACGGAGTAGAAACAAACCCTGCATTACATGTAAAGAGGCTCAGCGAATGTTCTTTTGAGTGTAAATGACCCGACGGAATGACTGAGTGGTTTTCCACACTGCAGTTGAGCCGCGAAGGAGAGGCTGTTAGCTGAAACCGGCCCCGCTGTGACAGCTACGACACGTATGACCGGTATGACAGGTATGCGTAACCCCACCTGAGAGACAATTGTTACTAACTAACATCTACATGCAGTGATGATGGTCTTTTCTTTTACAGAATATCAAGTTGTAGCTTCATTTTTTCAAATTTAATTTGCGATAAAAATCAATTTGTGATTCTCAGGTGAGATACTTCATACATCAAAGTTAGAGTACATTCTTCAGAATAATATCATCTAAGCCCAACGATTTAAACAACGTGAAAGCCATGAGAAACCTTTCACTAACATTAAACTGAGCCATTTAAACCAGTTCCATTACATTACATTACATTACAGGTCATTTAGCAGACGCTTTTATCCAAAGCGACTTACATTACACTTTTAAACCCATGGCCTTTTCACATTTTTGCCCGGGGAGCAATTAGGGGTTAGGTGTCTTGCTCAGGGACACTTCGACGTGGAACATGGGGCAGCCTGGAATCGAACCAACAACCTTGTGCTCCCCAGCACACCTTCTCTAACCCCTGTGCCACGACGACCCCAGACGACGTAAACCAGAGGACTAGTTGTCCCACCGTTACACTCACGATAACTGAAAGGTGCCCTAAACAAGCCGACCTCATCAGTGTAGTGGAAATAGTTCTTACGGGTTCATGGACTTCGTTTTGCGTATTGCAAAATGTGACGCACACATACCTGACCATAAGTCACCACGGAAAGATTGGTTTGGAGACCATTTGACGCCCTATTTACAGCATTATGAGACAGAGACAATCCGTTTTCGTCCTGCTGGATTGGCTCCTGTGTGCGTTCCCACGCGCCGCCGGGATCTCTGAAGCTGTCGTCAGTGGCGTCGTGCTTGTTCTTCTGTGGCGAGGCGAAGGGGTTGAAGTCTTCCTGCACGTTGCGTTGGGGTTGAGTGTTGAATTCGGTCTCGAAAGACGACAGCTGCTGGGTCACGCCGAGGAGCCCACCGACCTCTACGCTAAGAATCACCCAGATTACATCTGTGGAGAAAAGAAGGGTTCATAAACACCGGCCGCTTGTAGGACTGAGTCGACCCACCAAGTCGCTGACTTCCTCTTTGTTACAATGAATCGTTGGGAACCCTTTGACCGAGCACCTCCCCATAGCAACACACCGATTCAACATTTCCTTCACTACCAGGCTGGTGACATGGATTTTGAGTTGGTCACAATTAAATGTTGTGTGCTAGTGATGCATGTCACATACAAACACGTGGTGCTAACATTAGAGTGCACGCTAGACCTTTTCTGATACGCTGGCTACTTGATATATATACATATTTCACCGTCTTCTGTCTCGGCCACTAGGTGATGTGGTTGTTCACTTCTACACGGCGATCTGTAGCTGTTAGCTCTTAGCCTTTAGCTCGTAGCCATTCTGTTGTGCTTCTCACTGACATACAGTGGTCAGAAGCCGACCATTGCAGAATAATGTGAATTAGTTAGTTAGTTGCAGCCCGAATGCATGTCCTCATTAAACAGAAGTATTTGGTGATGTCCTACCTCCATAGAATAATCCGCTGGCTGTACACATCCTCCACTGGCCCTGGTACATGCCTGGAGCCGTGGGACTTCGCATCTGCACGCTCACATCGGATATCTCCTGGGGGTCCAGTGACTTCACCATGACTGTGTTTACATGCCCAAACTGATCCCCGCCGATGTATTTGAGACAAACCCCGGGCGGCCATGACTCTGCACCTTCAGGACACAAAGATGAGCGCGGTCAAAACACAGTTCGACAATAAAACCGTGACGTGGGAACTTAAGTGGTTCAGGGATGCTGCTGGTAATGTGAGCACTAAGGGGGGCGAATGTGGTGACGTGCTGCGCACCTGTGTTTTGTATTCTCCAGGTCTTTGTGAACGGCGTATCTGGAGGAACAGACTCTCCTTCCCCGATCGTCACGTCCTCAACAAAGGACATGGAAGGCGTGTTGACGTTGGGACTTTCAAAGTCATAATATGCACCAATAGCAGCTTGCAGGTTCCTGTTCCCACACAGAAGAAAGAGCAAGGTGTTAACGGGAGGGGGACATTAAACAAGTGATCACAAGATTTCGTATTTGAAAGAGAACATTCATTAATTAACGAAGAAAACCTTTTTCTTGACGTTGCAGTTTGTCAAATAATTCAAACAACAAAAGATGCTTGTTTAGCCGAGGCCTCCAGGACACATTTTCTATTAACGGCTTCGGGGACTATTTGATTAAAAGCAACAGTCCACAAATGTGATACGGACAATTACAGAAATGATTACTCCAACAACAGGGTTCATTTTATAATGGTCACAAAAAAACAACTCCAAGCGCTTGCTGGGCCAGTAGATTGCATACAAACGAGAAGATTACGTCATTTTCTTCCCCCAAACAATCCGTTTTACCTACAAATATAGAAAGTGGCCATAGTCATTAAAAATCTACACATTAGATGGGATATGAAATGATAACCTTTCTGGTGAGGGCAAAAACACAGGAACCGATACAACATCTGCATGTGGTTAGACCATAAAAGACACTTGTAAGGCCCGGTGCAGGTCATGCAAGGACACAGAGTCATATTGCAGCTTGCAGCCAAACTCTGCATCTTCAGTCTGTAACGCAAACCTTTTAAATACACACATCTAGTTTCAAGGTTTAACGATCATCTGGAGCCGTTTACTTCCCAAAGCTCCTCCACTGAAACCACGATACAACACGTACTTGTGTGTGACTATTAAACTGATTTCCATGTGTAGAAACCAAAGTAGGCCATTAACAATTGATCATCTGAATTGATTGGATGGAAGACCACTTGTTGTCGCCCGCCGATGGATCACGACCGGTTACGTCATCAGACTAACGCGAGCTGTGTCTTCCCAGCGCGGCTCGGTTTTAACCGTCTGTGAACACCGTCCATGTAACACGGGCGATAATCTACACCGAGACTTTCCTGAGCTCAAACTAGCCCACTAAGCTAATTATCCTTCCGGTGTTTTTTTGTGTTTTTTTTAAAGTAATTTTAGCTTCAATTCAAACTCACAGTCGGGGCTTAAACTTTGCCGTTTCACTTCCGCCCGCCCGCGACGTCGGGAGTTTACGTTCGCTTCCACGAGCCGTTTCCTGTGACGGAATGGTGCAATGCTGGAACACCGCTAATTCAGCGGCGCGTTTGTCCGCCTCCGCCTGCCGCAGTTTAACGTATGCTACCTAGCTAATTATACTACCTGAGTTAGCGTCGTGCTGCTAGGCCCCTCGTGTCCCCGGACTCACCAGTTGGTCATGTCCAGGAAGAAGGCGCAGCCGGCCGGGTTGAGCTGAAAGCCCAGCAGCCTCTGAAACTCCGAAATTAGGACGTCCTTGTCCGTGGTGCCCATGCAGCTAAACTTTTGCATGAGCTCCGCGTCCACGTCCATGTCCGTTCCCTCCATGGGTGACGGGTGTCCCGCGGCGGAGACGGGGTGTTGCGGGGAGGGAGGGGTAGGGGGAAGCGGGGAGACCTCTCTCAGTTTAGTCCGAGGCCTTGTCCAGCCATAACAACCAGCTCAACAACAACAACCGTCATTGCGCATGGCACGACCAGGGGGACGCTGTTTGACGTTGCAACAGCCCGCGCGTCACCGTAGCCAATCACGAAGGGGGCGTTGACGTCATCTGTTGCTATTTGGAGCCACCCTTTCATTGGCTGATCAATAAATCCACGCTGTTCGTTTTAAAGCGCAGTGCCACAGACGTCGGAAGTGGAGTATAGGAGAAAACAATGACGTGGTGGCTCATGAAAACCCCAAATGTACAATGTACACTAGGGCCCAACCGATTCATCTTTATGTATATATATATATGTATATATATATATATATATATATATCGTGTGTGTAGAGAGAGACAAAATGATTTCCTCAGGTTTATTCTTGAAGTCTTTTAAGGATATCTTAAGTATGTCATAAAATGAAAAATAAATACTAGGCAGTTGTTTAAAATAAAATCCACTGAACTGTGTTGGTCTTCAAGATCCAGTAAATTTGAACAAATCTGCCATTTTCTTTTAAGAAAAGTGTTACTGCTGCGGCGCTGCCATCAATTTTACGCCAAATATAGAGATAATGTTCCTGTCTCTATTTCCTGCCCGTTTTTTTTAAATAAATCGTTCCAAAGAAGGTAGAAGAATAATCTGGTCCGTTAGTTTGTATTCATCTTTGATGTTTATACCTGTGGATAAATTAAAATATATATGTAATGTACATGCTAAAACAAGAATATGTGTTTTTCTTTTTCATCTACAAGAAGTCGTATTTATTATTATCTGTTTATGCTAAGGCTATAGCACTCTTGTGTTGATTTTATGTGTGATATAATTTTATTCAGAGGTACCGTTTCGTGTAGCGGTCACTTTTACGCGGAACGAACCCGTCTGTAGCTCTTATAGCTGGAAGGAAGACTTATTGGGAACACCGGAAGCGCGCTCTCGACGGAGATTGCCGGGGAACATGCCTAAGTAAGTATCGTTATTTATTCTCCGTCAGGCGTAATCTATGATATCCACGCCCCGACGAATTGGTTTTATGTTTATATTAAGCAACACACAATTATAAGACGAAGCCTCTTTTTTAACTAATTAGACGGACCAGTTTGTTTGCAGACGGTCGTTCTACGCTTTGTTTGGCCTGCGTCTAATAGCTGGACTCAAGCGCGATGTGAATTTAGCTAACGTTACCAGCCACAGATAATTTAAGAAATATATAAAATCAACCGATCCGATAAAATCCACGACTTTTTTTTAACATCTTGTTCATTTTGACCTATTTAAAAAAACACATTACTGGCAAGTTTATAAAACCCTTTCATTAACGTTAGCATTCAGATGAAGTTCCCTCCCCGATGGGGTTTGTACGCTGGAGCAGCTACAGAGAACAACTCCTCGAAAAGTAACGTTAGCTATGGGAGACTAAATTACGAGTATGACGGTGTGCTGACACCAGAAGGCAAAGTTGGAGACTCTTGATTGCTTAATTGCATAGTAGGCCCTCTGCACAATATGGACGCAACAGTACCGCCGAGTTTTTTTTTAATGCATCTTTTGTGGCATTAACAGACAAAACAATGGTTTACCCAATTGTATTTCTTTAATGCAGTTTGTATAAACAGTAAAAAAAATAGTCTTTCAATTGTAATTTAATATCTCACTGCTCTGGACACTTTTTTTGTAACCTCAAACTTTTCCTCCCAAAAAGGTTTTACTGTGATTACTGTGACACCTACCTCACCCATGATTCGGTAAGTTGTGCCCATGCACTACCAAATAAAACCGTTAAAGCGTGAGGTAATGCCTCACTCATAATTAATATCGTTTAAAATCTTTTCCAGCCGTCAGTGAGGAAGACCCACTGCAGTGGTCGAAAGCACAAGGAAAATGTGAAAGACTACTACCAGAAGTGGATGGAGGAGCAGGCTCAGAGCCTCATCGATAAAACGAGTAAGCACATCATTGGCACGATCCTCCTGAACACGCGGCGGACTGACTCTAGAAGTACTCGCCAGTGGCTTTTGCTGTTTATTTCTTTTCAGACGTTTTGCCACACAGACAGACTCGGCAAGGTGGATTTTTAAACAATTCCACTCCGATAGAACCCATTTGTGTATTGATACATGAATATGAAAGCCTGTTGTTGATGATGATGATGATTCATTGAATTGTAAACACTGTTGGTTGCAGTGGACATCAGCATTACAACAAAGATCTTGGGCCGCGTGATGTATTTTGCTATGAAGTCATGTTAGAAAGACTTCTTGCACGTAGTGTTAACTGCATTGAGAAACAGGCTTCAATTAATTCACATTAATAATTTGTGTGTTTTTGTCGTCTTTTCCAACAGCGGCTGCATTTCAACAGGGGAAGATTCCGCCCACACCGTTCCCTGGCGGTCCTCCCCCAGGTGAGTCCATTTCTGCTGAGCTAACCGTGCTACAAACACCTGCTCTTAATAGTTATGATAGGGAAAGACAGTCTGCTGATAGCTTCTTATCAGGGATTATTGAAATTAATCTGTATTAGAATGATCAATCAGCGGAGGCCGTGACGTTTTTTTCCCCCCATGGGATTCAAGAATAAAACGAGCCCACCAATGAACATAAATAGAAACCCACAAGATACATTTTCTTACTCTTAAAGTCATCATTTAAACGGCCTACAATAAATCATACCTTCATGAATGGCGTTGGTTGTTTAGGAAGCCGCAGTTTGGGTTGCTGTTAAATTGTCCCCTCGTGCAGTTTCTAATATTTTTTTAATTTTATTTCTTTGCATTAGTTTGATTTCCATCAAATAGTATTATTTCTAATGGTAACACCGGTGCATGTTTTATGCTTAGTCGGAAGTGGATGCAAATTACTATGCACATGAATCTGTTGATCGTACACTCATTTGCTGTTTGTGATTCAGGTGGTCCTCCTCGTCCAGGCATGCTACCAACGCCCCCTATGGGAGGTCCTCCTATGATGCCCATGATGGGGCCCCCCCCACATGGAATGATGCCCGGTGGACCCGGTAAGAAACATGTTCCTGTAACACAGCATCACACGATCTTTGAGGGACATTTAAAATACTTGTTTCAAGTTTGCTGCAGAATCAGTTTAGAAGGTAAATTGGGTTACATCTGTTATTTTTTTAGGTCTGTTTTTCAAAATAAAAGGCATTCATGATCTTTGTCATTCAATTGTATTTTGTTTTTAAAATGTACTCTTGGTCAGAAACAATTATCAAACTTTAGATTAATTGAGAGAATTCTTGTTATTCCGAACAGTTTGTCAAGTTTTCTGTAAAGCTGCTCTAAATTAATACCCAATGCTGTGTGTGGCTTCACTTCCACTCTCAGGAGGCATGAGGCCGCCGATGGGAGGACCCATGCAGATGATGCCGGGACCGCCACACATGATGCGTCACCCTCGGCCGATGATGATGCCAGTGAGGCCGGGCATGATGCGGCCGGACAGATAAGAGCGGCGTGTCGCTCTCCGCTCTCTGATGCCGCCAACAGACTCTGTCCAGTGAGGACTCTCGGCTTAACACGTGGACTTCTCATTGTGTTAAAATGGATTTTACAGCCCCGTTTTAAAGACATTTTATTTCAATCAAACGTCCTGTCGTGTAAGTGTGGAGTCTGAAATATCTCGTCTCACTTCGTCAAAGCTGTTCAGCGCACATTTAAAGAGCGTGTTCGATGTGACTTCTTTTGGTATATTTTTACTTTTTGTTTTAGGGTTTTTACATATTTTTGTTATCGTTCACTGCAATGCTTTGAGAAATAAAACAGTGATTTCAAACCTGTTTATTTTTTTACATTGTTGTCCTTCAACAAAGGGGATATTTTTATTATTTTTTATATTTAAAAAGGCGCCGGTAGCCTGAGAGTGGGAGGCTTTCATGCAATGTGCACAGTTCTGTGATTGGGACAAAAGACTGAGCTGTGGACCGCTGGTATAAAGTTAAGTCTATAAAGGGCTCAAGTCTGCAATAGAAAATGCCGTCGGCGCTTTGCGTCTCCTGGATGGGTGAAGACGGTTTGCTTACAGGTTTGGCTCATCAGTGAAGCAATACATCGTTTTACATCGTTTTTTTTTTTTTTACAGTTCAAATGAATCTTTGCTACTTCCCGCAGTGACAAGCTGACAGTGGATCGAGTTCAACAGTTTTCACAAAAGGGTTTCAGTCAACGCTGCTTTATGTTCAGTCAGCACTTAATCTGCTTTTCATTTTTCCAATTATGACGGAGATAAAGACGCCCTCTACAAAGTGCCACAGCTGGGGGAGGCCTTCAGATAGCCCAAGTTCCAGATATCTTAATTTAACCATCACTTATGAAGAGGAAAGTATCAGATCGAAGGGAGCATTTGAGGAAAATGGCAAACAATTATGATTAATAAAAATAGTTCTGCATATTTTTACCAAGCCGAAACATGGTAAAAATATGCAGAAGGAAAAAAAGTTTGTTTATGATCAAAAACAAATCGAGCAAAATGGTAAAAGACTTTTACATTTTTCTAACCTTGAGCCTATCTGTAAGCAAACTGAATTAATCATGCTCAGTTTTGCCTCATGTGGAACCCAAAGCGGCCCCCTGAGGTGTGTTGCCACGGCGACCTGCTGCTGACCTTTCAGGGTGAACTCTGCCCATTGCATTCTGGGATGAGCATTATCCTGTTGAGACAAAAACCAAACCCAGGCGACGTCTTTGCAAGAACCCAGCCCCCCCCCCCCCCCCTAGCGCTGTCCACAGTGATGAAAACGTCTCAACAGATGGAGCCAGAGAGACACTGGGAGTCTGTGCGCTGACTGATTACGCGCCTCTGTGGACCGTCCCTTTTATTTGTATCCAACACCCTCTCAGAGGACAATTCTGTGGCTTTAAGCTTTAGGAAATGTTCTGGTCCACGTATAGAAAATAAATATATGCAGTTGGAGTTGGGGGCTGATCCGAACCGCTCCCCTGCTGTGCGTCGTATTGGTTATTTTTTTGTAGCTGTCAGCCAGGCAGGTTGTAAAATGTCATCTTCAAAGAGACTTGTGTAGATTACATGCTATCTGACGGCCGCTCGGAGAGACGGGCTCCATTAGAAGCACTAACATCCCCGCACCGGCGAGACGGGAATAAAACCATTTCATGCATGTATGTCGAGCGTGGGCGGGTGCACGTGTGTCATCTGAACAGAGTCTTTATGAATATTCCATCCAGCCGTGAAGTGGAGCGTTGCCCTGAAGGGAACGAAGTGCAGATGAGGAAAGTGTTTATGATTAGAGCTCAGGAGCCGAGGAAGTGGGCTTTGATCATGAGAGATGTGTGTTATAGTACATTTAACAACAGCGAGTGCGTTGACACTGTCGAGCCCGCGTGTGTTAAATGTTTGATGAGAAAAATGGGGTTTTGAGGGAAAGAAACGGTTGCAGGAGAAGTGACCTTTGATGGCGAACGGCATCCCTCGATGTTGCTCTGTGAAAAATAGATTACATGTTTGTAGAAATAGTCTGCAGCTCTTTTAATGTGTTACAAAATTCCCTCTTTGTTTTCCTAATTTCCTCCCACTTTATTTTATACACTCAGACTGTTGAAGCCTCATAATAGCAGCTATACTTTGGTGATCTGTCAAAGTATCTACAGCTTAACAACCCGGATGTTTACGTAATCCTCTGAAATGGACTCTGATGTAAAATGGTGATTCGGTTTTTGGAATCGTTCGTGCATGAGGTGAACACTAGCATCAAGCTACGAGGAATCCATCAATAACTGTAAAGATTCAAACTTTAATATTTGTCTTACGGGGACTATCACACTCACTTCTTATATCAGCAGTGAGAGAGGCCCCCGGGAAAGCTGTTCTCTGGACTCATCAGCGAGTTCAATGGAGGGGGGGGGGGGCGGCCTTCATGGGGAGGACAACTGATTGATTAACCGCTCAAAACTAAACGTTTACCCCCCGCCTCTCCTTTTCCTTACTCTCCCTCCACCTCCATCCTACCTCCTTGCTGCCGCGCTACCCGACACAAACACTGCAATTTAATCCATTCAGTCTTGGCTCCAGATCGATATCCATTTTCCTTCGGGCCTGCAGGGAGAGCGCTTGAATCTGCTTGTCTCAAACAGCGTTTTTTTGGGGCGGGGGGCGATACTGACGTACAGTCTCTGACAAGTTTACATGTAATCTCTCACTGACCTGCTGCACGAAAGGCATCTTAACGCGTCCGAGCGTCGTTCTCCTCATCTGAGATGTGGAAACGCGACGGCGAGGCCGCAAAGCCAATGAACGACGTCCAAGTAGATCAAATTAAGGCTAATTGGATCAGCGGCCTCGGAAGTGACCAGGAAGAAAGATGGCGATATCGTTTTACTGTCGACGGCAGCGTTACGCAGTGTGATGGCAGACGGGGGCCTCGCTGGAGAGGATTTAATCAGCACCAACACACAGGGCGACCCGGAGCGACATGACAACGTGCCGTCAGCTAAAAGTCTCAATGTGACCGTAGGGAATCAGGAGTAAAAACCTTTGAGTCAATCTCGACGCCGTTAGCCGCCCGCCGCCCGGCCATCTGCACGCCGCGTGGACGGCTGACAGTGATTCCCCTTCACCTGCCCCGCCGGCATGTTTTATAAATAGGCCCCCCCCCCCGTTAAATATTCATTCATAAGCGTTTGAGTATTTTGTACCTCACGGCTGAGTTCTGTGATGTCAAAAGGACACGACGGTTTGCTGACAGGTTTATAGATGCTGGTGTGAAATAAGACATTAAAATGGAAATATGCCAGAGTGATCTGTTTGGGAGTTGGAGGTGAAAATGTATTAATCAGTCAGTGTTTGGGGGCCGTTGTTCATCATCACATGACCGGCGGCATGTTTCTGTGGTAAAGAAGAATTCAATTATATTTGTTTTTATAGGATTGATGAATGGTGTCTGTTGTTTTCTTTATCTACAATTTCGTTTGACTCAATTTTCTGTTTTCTTTCTATTAAAAAGAAAAGCTCTTTTGTGAACACTGACAGTGAAAGACCATTTTTAGAAGTTGAAGTGGAGTTTGTTTGTTTTTCCCCTATTCTGAAAGTCTAAATTTAGAATAACTTGACTGGATGAATATTTCATGTAACCTCACCTCTAACTTAAGGACTTGAATTTTTTATCAGTGTCCTCATCAGCTCAAACATATGGTTCTTATCCATACATGCATATGAAAGTAGTTGGAAATGTCTTCCTTGATGTCCCTGTCCCATATTACATATGCCACAACAAAGATGATTTCTTTTGCTTTTCTTATTTTGTTGTCAATCTTTTTTTCCTTTTTGTGTCCAAAGTGCATTCTGCTTGTGTTCATGTAGCCCGATCGTTCCATTACTTTCACACACGGTCATCCTTTCAAGCTGGAAATATGTGCGGAGGTTAACATTTATTTCACCACCACTCTAAGAATAATGCTTTTTATTAAAAACAGTAATAAATGCATTAATGCGAGCCTGAAAAAGCCAAAACACCAACTATAACTTCATTCATATTCATAATATATATATATATATATATATATGTGGGAATTCACCAGTTGAAAAATATATATCATTCAAAAAACACCACACGAAGAAACACTTATTTCATGAGGTATTTCTTAACTTAACGGCCATTTTGCTGCTGACAAGATAATCCCAACAATCAGTCCAATGGATCTAGATTTGTTGCTGAAGCGAGTACCTCTCTATTTAGGTGTTCTGTATCTCCACCCGAATGGAAGTCATGTGAACTGCTGCTTCACGTTGCCAGCTGCAGGGTTGTTATCCTGCAGTGGTGAAAAGGACGGCATGCGGCTAATTTAGTTGACTAATTGATCTCTGAGTTTAAACTGTCGTGCGCCGAGATGCAGACTTATCTCTCACTCGTCCTCCTCAGACTCTCTGTCCGTCCTCTCGTTAGGAGGAGCACTAATCTAAAAACCCTTCTGTGCAGCACAAATCCCAAATGAATGTGTGCTGTTTCATCCATAATCACTGGGAAGATTCTAACAATGAGAACGGAAGGAGAGACGTTTTCTACTCCAGGATCAGAAGGATTCTGAAAGATCACCGTTGCGTTCATGCATCCAATGCGTTTTTCATTGAACGACACAATGTTGTTAGAAATGAGCAAGACTACTTTCCACATTGTTCTTCGCTTATCCATCTTTTTCCAGACAACATTTCTATTCACTCGATGACAATTCTCAGATTTCCTGTTGTCAGGTCTTGCTTCTCCGAGGAGTTGCGCCTTTCCACAATTATAGTTTTCACTGACCGAGGATGCAAGAAAAAACACGTGTTGAGCACAAAGGAGAAGTTGAGGTTGAAAGAGGTTAAAAGATGTTGGTTTCTAAACCCGAGGTATTTTTAACAGAAAGCCAGGACTCAACACTTGAGTGCTATCTTTCCTTTTTTTACCGCGTCAAGTCAAAATGCTAAAAATGGGCTCAATGTAGAGTCAAAGGCAGGGTCTATTTTTAAGGATACTTACTCTCTCAATTCTTTGATGTTCCGAAGGTTAAAAAGCTTAAAAGCCTTTGGCCGACGCTGTGTTTCTAAAGATGGAGGCACATCTCACTCCAGCAACACATTTCTGACTCAAAGGCCGGGTTTTTACAAGAAGCAGTGCTTCCTGTTCGTAAAAAGACGCTCCTGTGGTATTTTGTGGTACTTTCACAGCCTGATGTTCCCACAACTACGAACGGTCATTATTAATGTCTTTATTCTCAACGTGTCCTCACCTCAAAGCGCCGTGTGAGACGTCTAATAATGGAAGTGGCTCGTCCTGCACAACCGCTT